ATGACCAACCCGTCCGTGGAGGGTCAGGAATCGGAAATGTGAAATAACTAAATTTTTTTCTTCACTTTTACCCGATGTATTGCAACATCCAACTGCCGTGCACTTGCGCATTGTCAGTTTAACTATAGCTCTGGTGCATTTAAATGGTGAGGTCCTCTTGAAATCCTAAATAATTGTTGTTGATTGCAGATGTGTCTAGTAGCTCCCATTGATTTTGTGTGTAAAGCGGGAAGAATAGCCATCGGCTTACCGCACCGTGACGTCACTGCCGGATGATGTCAGGAGTGAGGAGTTACTATATTTGGGCAAAAATGGCCGGTCATCGTCGCACCGAAAATTATTGTTTTTTCTTTTTTCTTTTTAGTGATTAACGCTTGATTTGTTAAATCACGGCGAACATATTAGTTTTAGGTATAAATAATGATCCATTGATCATTTCTTGCTGACCAGACTTCTCCTTTAATACATGTCTAATCTGTACAAACAAATTTTAATAGTAAAAATTCTACTTTTGTCATTCTAAAATGATTGTGTTACCTGAACAGAAAATAACTGGGCAGCAATGTACAGGTGGATTTAGTGCACTGCCTTTTAAATCCTGCATGTGTTCAAATTTTTAGTGGAAGGGAGTTTCTTACCTGTTTGGCATTTTCAATATAGGCAGCCATGTATTCATAGGCTGCAGCCTGAGCATTCACTCTGGTTTCTGTGCCCTCCACGGGCAAAGCAAAGCTGTCCATAATGATCATAGTTTCTCCATCCACCTTCCCCAGCATGAGACCCATCACCTCCAGGTTTCCACCTGAGCGAGCGTGCATCACCATCTTCAGCAGGGCAAGAGCTGAGATCTTGCAGTATTTGAAGTAGTGGTGGCTGGGCAGAAAAATAATGAAAACACATATTTATCTGTACTTTATATATTCACAGTACACCAGGTTTAATTCATCACTTCTTTAAGTGTCACTCCTATTTGTTTTCCTCTACTACCATCAGCTTAATTCTAGGGTGGTTTTATTTTAATTTTTTAAAGAATTATAAGTACATTTTAGAGATACGTGGTGCTAAAATGGCAAACCTCCTGTATACAGTTTATATATATATATATATATATATATATATATATATATATTCCTTCCATCCTTTTCTATTTTTCAAAAAATGAGAGAGAATTATGATTTTGAGCCCAGATTAAAGCAAAAACAACACAAGTTACCTTTCTTCCTCAGAAGACATTTACTGAGGTCACAAAGAATTTTCTTTACAAATACAAATCGGGAACATAAAAAAAGGTTTTCCCAATAAATACGAAACACTAAAGGTATAAACCTGACCAAAACCAAATACATAAGCAGAGATATGTAAATAAACAACTGCGGCTAGTATCAAGGCTAACTGCTGTTAGCCTTGATACTAGCTAACATTTACATTCTTCAAAATAAATAACACAAAATAGCCCAGAACACCACTTAAACACTTAAAATTGACAAAACACTCAAACATACTCTTTCGTCCAAGGCTTCGCGGCGAGGATTTCTTGCTGCTGCTTTTTGTCATATTTGTAAATTTCATCGATGCTCTGCACCTCTTGCATTCTGTTGGAAAGCTCCCATGTTTTCTGAGCCGTGCTGCTCCCAGCCATAACGACTTAAATTTTCACTCACAATACCTGAAAGATAAACCAATAAAACCTCCTCAAATTAAAGTCGAAAGCTGATATTTCTCTTTCTTTCTTTCTTCTTGTTTAATGGCGGTTGACAAGCAACTTATTGGTGTGCATTACCGCCACCTACTGGTAAGGAGTGTGGATCAGGACGCAACCTTAAAAAAAAAAAAAAAAAAAAAAAAACTAAATCCTTTCTATCAGTTTAGTTTTCTTAAGAAATCTTAATAAATGACGTAAATATTCAGAAGAGGAGCAATATCCCAACATATCTGATATTTTTAATTGTAACTTATTCTTTAGAAGTCGATATTCTAATTTCCTTCTCTCCTCAGAGTACTTTGGACAAAACAACAAAACATGTTCTACTGTCTCTTCTTGAAAACAAAATTCACAATTTCCTGATGGATGTCTTCCCATTATAAATAATGTACTGTTTAAGCCTGTATGACCAAAACGTAACCTGGATATGATATTATCTTCTTTTCTACTTCTTCCTGTTCCCCTCATTACCCCAACTTTCCTTTGAATGCTATAAAGCCATCTACCAGTTCTTTCCTCCTCCCACTGCTTCTGCCATCTTTCCTTAACCTTTTGTTTTATAATAGATTTTATCTCCTCTTTACTAAATGGAATCAGTATCTCAATGCAACTGTTTTTTGAAGCTTGTTTTGCATATCTGTCTGCCAATTCATTTCCTATTACTCCTATATGAGATGGAACCCATGTAAAAATGACAATTAATCCCATGGTCTGAATTCTATAAAGTATTAACTGAATCTCCAATAGAAGGTCTGGTCTACTATTGGAATGATTATTTTTAATTGAATATAATGATGAGCTTGAATCAGAGCAAATTAAACTTCTTAGAGGACGAACATCTTCAATCCAACTCAAAGCCAATGATATTTCTCTAAAGATTGTTTGGGCCTAACAGCTACTCGCTCAGGAAGCCATGACAGTTAGGTGATACCAAGACAAGAAGATCAACAATATCAAAAACATTAAAAATTCTTCCCTTAATTTATCGATAAGGTATATTTTTTATTGGATTTCAAAATATTTAGGTCGTCTATGTGATTTTTGCATACGTTTTAATGAAAACTATATTTATTACTCTTATTAAATGACAAAACGCCTCCAATAGATGGTATCGTCCACGGAGGACCAAATTATCTGTATATCGACACTGCCATCTAGTGGCGGCTTTACTCATACCTTTACAAGTAAAAAATCCTTGGAGTTTTTTTTAGTAGTGATTAATCCTGACTTTGTATAAAAAAATATGTCTTTGCTTAGAATTTGTCTTTTGATGTTTTAATTGCTAAAACCATATATAATTATTCCTCAAACAAGAAGAACACGGAAACTAGTAATTTTTACAGCAACAAGCCTGATTCTCAAACTGGCTTTACAGTATGTCAGTAGCAGATTTTTAATTGAACCCTTTAAAGATTCATTTTTTTTTTTAGCTATTTTGTTTTAAATAGTAAAGCTAAATCTACTTCCCAAAACCAAGTTTCTACATGCACATGTGCCTGGTGACCTCACATTGGACATGAGACAACTGAGCTCTTGGTATCTTAATTTATATTCATGTCTAGACATTTTCAATTTCTAATCAGTCAGGGAAGAAATATAAACAGGCTTGTGCCCATGTCAAAATCGTTCCACTTGGAGGCCTGAGTCGAACTGGGTCAAACAAAACTGAAATGAACAAAATATTTAAAACTGCAGTGGCTACAAAACCATATCTTTGTAATCTTGAGGTTTAAAAGTATACCTTGTCATCTGGCCGTGTTTCTATTGTCAGTAGACCTATAGGTGTTACAGGGGGGAAATATAGTATCTTTATTTAAATTTAAATTCCACAGTTCATGTTAACCTTGAAGTCCTCATATTGACAAAACATACAAAAAATTCATTTGTCAGATTTTTCAAGAATAATGAACATTTACCTCTTTTTTTTCTAACAGTTTTTTATATTGTCTTGTTCAGGGTTTTGTGTTACAAACCGCAGCGAGTATCACAACAATGGTAACCTGCTATTTTTTCAAGAATTTTGTGAAAAGTATCAAATTTACTGTGCAGAGAGTAAATATAAGCAGATCTTAAAAGCATTCCCTTTATCTCTTAGACAGACTTAGACTTAGACAGATTTATTTTTGTCATTTTTTAGTGTATACAAAAATAAATTTCTTTTAAAACAGCTCTAGACAATTTCATTTTTTGAAGTGCAGCCTGTAATAAATACATAAAAAAGTAATATAAACAGTATTTACAGTTCTAACATTAATTCTTTTTTTTCTTGGTTTTTTTTTTTCCTCTTAAGGCTATAGATTGACAAAATGTATTATTTTGTAATATTTCCCTAGAATTTAAACAATTCTTTATATATTATGTCAAACTTTTCTGCAATTTATGTAACTATACGTTTTTGATGAGTCACTTGTCACATTGCTTCTCTCACAACTCAATCAAAAGAGAATACATTTTTGTACAGAAGAAAAAAAAAACGATCAGAACTAAATTCTTTTCATACCAGGTACCTCCTAAAATTAAAGAAATTCATACATTTAAAATTATTGACAGATTTTACCCTACTAACTAATTTCTAAGGAGAAAAAAAAAATAACATAAGATACTTTGGTTTTTGTGAGGTTAAAAGTGGAAGTTTTCTTTGACTGCACTGTAGTTCAAAGATTTTCTGATGTGGATCCACTCTAAAGGGACTCAGTCTCCTGACCTTACCCTAAGAGCAGCATTATTTGGCATAGCAACAAAAATGGGAGGTAATTAATCTTGTGTTAATATTTTAATTTATTAGCTACATTTTATTTACACAAATGCTTTTTCTTAAAATGTCAACCATTTATAACCCGATGGAAAAATTAGACAAAATCTCACACATTGTCTTTAGAATTTCTGAGGACAATAAATGCTGGTCTTCCTTTGTTTTGTGTCAATTTAATCTTCTTGATTTATTCCCTGTCCTTGAACTAATCCTATTATGTATTAGTATAATTTCTTCTACTTTTTCTTCTTTAATTAATGTATATTAAGAGGTGCTTAATACACTTTTTTTGTAAATGCTTTTATCCTGTTATGTAACGGCTGTAATGTATAATGGTTAAATAAAGTTTTGAAAAAAAAAAAAATGCAGCGCATTTTTCTGAAGGCCGCGTCTCAGTTGCCCATAGCAACGCGTGAACGTGTTGGTCATAGCAGTTGAGCAAAAAGTATTTTTCAAATGTTTTAGTCGTGAAAGGGAATAAAACCCTTTTAAAACCATATAATTCGTTTTAGTCAACTATTCTGCCTTTTTGTTTTTTCAGTTTTCATGGATAACGTGACATTTCTCCAAACTATGGCGCAGGGGACGTTATCCAACATCTCAGCATCTACTCACAGGAACACAGGTATGGAGGCAACTGGCAGCATGTCGTTAAATTATTTTATTGTGTGTTATAAAGTTAAAGATAATCCTAATATACGGTGTATTTTACAGATTTAGGTTTATCAGCTCTGGGAAGATCTTATGAAAATAAGAAACAGAAGCTGATGCTGGAGCTGCAGATGGATTATAAAGCTTATTTGGCCAAGGTCTGCAAAATCTTCTTTAAAATCAGAATCAGAAATACTTTAATAATCCCAGAGGGAAATTACTTAAAAAAGTTAAAAAATTTCAGGGCTGAATCTGATCAATCATAATTTAATTGAAGACTGAAATTATCATCACTGATTTAGTAATCGATTAACTGGAGTGTAAAGACTGTTAAATATGCCTTTAACTGACAGAGCGACACGCTTAGAGCAGTAATTATACTAAAATCGTAAAAACATATATAAACATTTTGCATTTAAGATTAAAAAAAATGTTTTTAATCTGTCAATATGCTCTGTACAGAAATCCTCAAGTGGAAAGTTTATTTGGAGTCAAAGGACTGATGAGTCATACTTTATTCAGAAAACAGATTTTAAAAGCCGTGTGCGTGACAGGCAGCACAAGGATCTCCCATTATATAATGAGGAGAAAGCTCCAACAAAGGTAGGTGGTTATTTTTTTTTATTATTGCACACTGCAAAATTTATTTTGAGTATTCATGTCGCAACCACAAATGTCGACATATATTTTTGGGATTTCATTTTGATAGATGGCCTCAGGTGTTTGTTAGAAAACAAACATCCAGATGGGGCTAAAAGGGACTGGTTTATTTTTGTTTTAAAATCTTCCAGGCAAAGTTTGGATGTTAACCTAATCAAAGATCTGATATTATATTATAGGGGGCAGATATTATAAGTTTTTTACTTCTTTATGCTCCTTCTCCTCTTTCATTCCTTTTCTGTTGTCACCTGCACAGGTTTTATTATGTTTTCTTTAAATGAATAAATAAAAATAGATAAATGAAAATAAATAAAGATCTCTTGGAAGACTTAAAAATGACTGCTCTGTGTAAACTGATTGAGGTTGAGCTATTTTACAAAGAGCAGTGGATAAACGTTTCCATTCATAGAAGTTACATAAAACCTGGAAACAAAGAACGCTGAATGATATGCCGCTGCTGTAGCAGCAAAAGTTTTACTAATCCTTTACTTACAGGGGTTGAATATAAATACAGCCATACTTTTCTGCTTAACATAGTTTCCATTTGTAACACAAATTAATAGCTTCCTTTTTTAACCTGTTTACATTTGTTTAGCTTTTTTTTTCCAAACTAACTGCAGGTTGCTGTAGCAAATGTGAGAAAGTTTGAAAGCATGCATGGTCTTGCAAAGCAGGTAGTAGTTTTTTATGTATTGGTATTTATATATTTAGTTTTTTATTTATTGGTTAAAGGGAAATCTGAGTAATCTGATTAAAGAATAAGGAAACAAAACAAGCAGATTTTTTGTCTGATCATAAGAGCCAAATGAAGAAGACACAAAGTTGGTATAGCACAAAGAAAATTCTCCCTATTTCAGAATTATTTGCCCAAATTATTTTCAGTCTGAGCCTGAGGAATCAGATGCTGTAACTATCACCAGTCCATACCCTGCCCTGTCCTTCCTGAATACCTCAACAAGAACAACGGAGTGTCTAAAGGAGTGTCCTGTCACTCCAACCAAACCGGGAGACGACAGAGCCAGATGCCCAGATATCTTGAGTTGTGGCCCACAGAGGCGGAGGAGATGGCAAATTCCTCCACAGAAGAACAGCTCTGAGGATGACCTGATCACAGATGAGGAAGACTTTGATTCCAGACTCCGAGGGAGACCTGACAAAAGCAGTTATGAGCAGGAGTACAAGGAGAAACAGGTTACTCCACAGCCCAGAGGGAGAAGGTGTAGCTTTGATTTTTAATGAAATAAAATGATTTTGAACTAAATTTTCTTTTTTTGTTTGCAATATCTCATCTCAATTTACTATGTTTTGCATGCAGATCTTTGCTAAACATAAGGAAAATGCAGGCTCTTACTATTCAAAACAAGAACGACAGTGATGTGATCTGGAAGGAAGTGTAAGGGCTCTTTTTTTTTACTTCTTTAGGTCTAAACTATTTGACTTTGAATAATTGGCTCATATAATAAGAGTATGATAAGCCCTTCAAACTACTGCCGGGTATCTGCTTTCTCTGCATGGCATCAAAAAACGCCTCACAAACTTTTATGATCAAATAGTAAAAGTTGAACCGTTTAAAGAAGTAGTAACTTGTGAATCTGTGCTTGGTATTAGTGAAACACCCCAGCACATGAAGACACCAGCCAGATTCACACCTGCCAGCGACACGAAGGAGAAAACGTTTGCAACCGGGCCCATGACTGGTAAGCTCTGCTGTTTTTTGGATAGAAACCTGTATTTTTACCAGGTTATTGACGTTTTTTTTTTTCTTTTTTCTGTTTTTGTTAATGCAGGGGCCGTGGAAGAGCGAAGCGTTACTCAAATGAAGAAGGAGCAGTGTAAGCAGGAATTGCTAAGACAAATTGAAGAACAGCGAAAAAACAGGATAAAGTTAGTATTTAATGAGCACGCCCAGTAGTATTGCAATCAGTCTGAGTATTTAAATGGAGTCTACATTTCAGATGTAGGATTTACCAAGAATTAATGAATTTAAAGCACAGATTTTTCGAACATTCTGTTACAGCATGGTGTTAAAATATGACAATGATATTTGACTAGAAATTATATTTGAAATGATATGAACTGCAAATAAAAAAACTATGCGTCTTTATAAAGCATTAATGAACGATCTGACTGGCAAGAAAGCACCGCTGATTACATCTTTACTAACTATACATCATATAATTTGACATATTTGTATACAATATTAACTATACAAGGAATAGGATTTTTGTTCTCCAAATAATTTCTACCTTGTTTTAATATCTTTGAGGCTAACATGCTATCTACTGCACTAACAATCATTTTCATTCTCTGAGAAATGGACAAGATAGTTTCATAAGTGTGCAACCCCTGGATCAAGATGTTACAGAGTTACAGATGTAGATGGTACACTGAAAATTGTTTTTTATTCCCTGTCTCAGATTTTACACTCTCGACTACCGTGTTCAATATGCTTTGTTCGAAAACATTGCAAAACATCAGTCAAAGTTATGCAGTGTGAGATTGTTAGAGAAAAGTTAGGAAGCCATGAATCATGAAAACATACCTAAAACCACACATTTTGAATCAGTTATCCACAGCTGCAGCCCTACGTAAGGATTCCTGTCTTAGACAATCTAAAAATGCAGGACGTCCTGGTCTACCTATTTTCAGCAGTAAGCAGGGATTCTAACTCTTCATTAATTTACTCAGTTGACTAAAAAGCAATAGGAAATAAATCTAAGGAAGATGTATAACCTTTATATTTTAAATTTATGTTTTTTTATTTTATATTCTTATATGGTGGTTATCTGTGCCCCATTAACAAAGTTGCCCTGGGCAACTGCCCATCTCAAAAACTACATCCAAACTGAAGTGTAAAAAGTTATATTCACCTCAAATTCCAAAAACATGTGTAAGAAATAATAACCTTGAAAATGCAAAAATTTGAATAAACTGATAAAATTATGCAAAAGCTAACAATACCCAAAGTAAAAAAGAGGCATATTTACCCTTATTTGGAGCAGCAAAAAATATTACATGCCAATGAAAAAGATATTTTAAATAAGATAATAGAATTTTTAAACATAAAACATCTTTTCATCATTTCTTTTTTTGTTTAAAAAAAAAATACAATTTTTTGCATGCAGAGCTTTGCAAAACATAAGGGAAATGCAGGCCCTTACTATTCAAAACAAGAACAACAGTGATGTGATCTGGAAGAAATTGTAAGGACTCTTTTTTTCTACTTCTTTAGGTCTAAACTATTTGACTTTGAATAATTGGCTCATATAATAAGAGTATGATAAGCCCTTCAAACTACTGCAGGGTATCTGCTTTCTCTGCATGGCATCAAAAAACGCCTCACAAACTTTTATGATCAAATAGTAAAAGTTGAACCGTTTAAAGAAGTAGTAACTTGTGAATCTGTGCTTGGTATTAGTGAAACACCACAGCACATGAAGACACCAGCCAGATTCACACCTGCCAGCAACACAAAGGAGAAAACGTTTGCAACCGGGCTCATGACTGGTAAGCTCTGCTGTTTTTTGGATAGAAACCTGTATTTTTACCAGGTTATTGACGTTTTTTTCTTTCTTTTTTCTGTTTTTGTTAATGCAGGGGCCGTGGAGGAGCGAAGCGTTACTCAAATGAAAAAGGAGCAGTATAAGCAGGAATTGCTAAGACAAATTGAAGAACAGCGAAAAAACAAGATAAAGTTAGTATTTAATGAACACGCCCAGTAGTATTGCAATCAGTCTGAGTATTTTAATTGGAGTCTACATTTCAGATGTAGGATTTACCAAGAATGATGAATTTAAAGCACAGATTTTTCTGACATGCTGTTACAGCATGTTGTTAAAATATGACAACGATATTTGACTAGAAATTATATTTGAAATGATATGAACTGCAAATAAAAAAACGATGCGTCTTTATAAAGCATTAATGAACGATCTGACTGGCAAGAAAGCACCGCTGATTACATCTTTACTAACTATACACCATATAATTTGACATATTTGTATACAATATTAACTATACAAGGAATAGGATTTTTGTTCTCCAAATAATTTCTACCTTGTTTGAATATCTTTGAGGCTAACATGGTATCTACTGCACTAACAATCATTTTCATTCTCTGAGAAATGGACAAGATAGTTTCATAAGTGTGCAACCCCTGGATCAAGATGTTACAGAGTTACAGATGTAGATGGTACACTCTGAAAATTGTTTTTTATTCCCTGTCTCAGATTTTACACTCTCGACTACCGTGTTCAATATGCTTTGTTCGAAAACATTGCAAAACATCAGTCAAAGTTATGCAGTGTGAGATTGTTAGAGAAAAGTTAGGAAGCCATGAATCATGAAAACATACCTAAAACCACACATTTTGAATCAGTTATCCACAGCTGCAGCCCTACGTAAGGATTCCTGTCTTAGACAATCTAAAAATGCGGGACGTCCTGGTCTACCTATTTTCAGCAGTAAGCAGGGATTCTAACTCTTCATTAATTTACTCAGTTGACTAAAAAGCAATAGGAAATAAATCTAAGGCAAATGTATAACCTTTATATTTTAAATTTATGTTTTTTTATTTTATATTCTTATATGGTGGTTATCTGTGCCCCATTAACAAAGTTGCCCTGGGCAACTGCCCATCTCAAAAACTACATCCAAACTGAAGTGTAAAAAGTTATATTCACCTCAAATTCCAAAAACATGTGTAAGAAATAAAAACCTTGAAAATACAAAAATTTGAATAAACTGATAAAATTATTCAAAAGCTAACAATACCCAAACAAAGTAAAAAAGATAGGCGTATTTACCCTTAATTGGAGCAGCAAAAAATATTACATGCCAATGAAAAAGATATTTTTTATTTTTGCATTATGTCAAATAATATGTATTATTCGTTTTCGATTTTCTGATGTTTTACTGCTTAATCTAGGAATTCATACATATAATAATAATGATAATAATAATTATACATAATGATGAAAATAGCATTGAGTCGAAAGATCGGAAATAATCTCTAGAAAAATAGCTTTGGCAAGAGGTAAGACTAAACATCCTATAAATAATTGCATAAATATTGATTATCAAACTGTGAGTAGTTTAAGGTTAAATGGATGACGACCTGCTGATCTGTACAGGGTGAAGCTGCCCAACACTGACCGACCGGACTCTCAGTGTTAACATTAGATAAGTTCTTATTAACTGTTGTTTCCAGGGATCAAAGAGCTAGGATGAACATTGGTGCCACTGAGACTCCAGCTCCAAGGAAAGAGGTGAATTATTGACATTCAACGAAAAAGCCAAGAAACTCCTTTCAGGTTTATTTATTACTAAAACATGATCTATTTTTTCTCAGCCTGAGTGTAAACGGGAATCTTGCGCTGCCTCTAAAAAGCCTGAGAACTTGAAGCAGGATGTTTTTGAGACCAAAGAGTTTGATCCGAAATGTGGCAATCTCTTTCAAAGCCCACAACACAGAAATCTTGGAGAGAATCCCCTGGTGAGCCTCAATCAGGGAGCGGTGCAACCAGTCCCACCGTTTGATCACTACAGTGGCTCCCCAGCCATGCAAGGACAGGCGGCCTTCCCAAGGTATCTAACAGGGACTTTATACAAATTAATAAACTGAATACCAGGGAATTTATTTGGCTGTAAATTTGGATTATGTTTTGCAGGTTCACTGTAGTTCCTCCTGTAGCTCACACGGTTTCCGACGCCGGCATTGGTCAGAGTAATCCAGCTTTACACCAAGACGCAACCAGAAAGCAAAGTAAAGTATCAGAGTCACCCCAGCCTGGCAGCACGTGCAGTCCTGTCAGTGTCCATAGTGGTTCTAGACAACATTTACCAGTGGGAGGAGGGGCACTGATTTTTCATGGGTGCAAAAAACAAGAGATTACCCACAAAAAAAGAACAAAGCAAGAGCACATTTTTAAATAACATTTTACAATGAGGTACACAAAATTTGAATAACTACTAGAGAACTCCTTGGGAACTAATCAGGAACTAATGGGTAACGAATCATTACTTACTGGGGAAGAAACAGCTCTGCTTCATTATGGGACTACTGGTTAATTACATGGGACACAAAGAGTAATTAATCAGAAACAAATGGGTAGTTATCAAGATAACAAAAGAGGAATAAATCAGGATTTAATTAGTAGTAGTTAACCAGTAGTTCCTGGGGAATACACTGTCCCAGTAAGTAATGGTTAATTGCCCATTAGTTCCTGATTAGTTCCCAAGGAGTACTCTAGAAGTTAGTCAAATTTTGTGTTACCCATTTTTATAGTTTATTAATTGAGCTGAAAACTGTCATTCCTAAATAACTGCTCCAGTAAACTTTAATTACATGATATTTAATTGTGCCAGTTCTAAGGGGATATTGGCACCTGTTGGCACCTGGCTAGAACCGCCCATGGTTAGTGTGATGTGTGTATTTGTCCAGCAGTTCCGGAAGGCTAGTGTCCTGCAACTTTTAATGTGACCTGGGTGCAGAACATCTGAATCAGATTAAACTCCTTAGGGTTCAGTCTGGTTCTACAGCGCTCTGATAATGATTGGAGTTTTTGCTACAGATGTGTTTGAATAGAGAAGCACCTAACAGTAGCAGGACACCAGGCCCAGAGGATCAGAGCAATAGCACCCTGGTAATGTCTTCAGGTTTTATTGCTTTTCCTACATCGTCACAAAAAGATGTTCATAAATGTTCATTTTTTTTTTACATTTTGTAACCTTAAGAACAGAAACTCTTGAGGTTTCATGTGACAGACCAACATAGTGTTGAACTATACTATAAAGTATGTTTCAAACTTTCTTTTCTTACAAACTGAGAAAGGAAATGTGCGTCATTCAATTCAATTCAATTCAGTTTATTTATATAGCGCCATTTCACAACACATGTCATCTCAAGGCACTTTACAGTTGACTCCTTTTCAATCGATATTCTCTAATAAATGTCTGTGGGATTAACAGAGCAGCAGGATTTATCTTGAGATTAAATGAAACAACTGTATTTAAGTTGGAAACATCTGAAGGAAGTTGTTGTACTGGCTTTTATTAGGGAGGATTGAAGAAAAGCGGGGCAAATAGATATCATGGTTTTCAGATTGTAAATGATTGAATGACTTTTACGTGATAATGTCACTTTATATCCTGATAAAATGCGACAAGGTGTTAATTGTTTTAGAAAACACTCCAGAACACTTTAGCTGTTTAGAAGTTCCATATATCTACTATCAATGCAGACAAACACAGATGGTTGCCTCTTTATATTTATATTATTCTGTTTTTATGAAATCTCAATATTATAAAACTTTTATTAACTCAGAAATTGTATACTTTTCATAATAAAAATATTCTCATTTTGAATCCTCTTTACAGTTAGTGTGCTTGGAGGGGCTCAGCCGGAGAAGGAGACTTCCCCTGCAAGGCTGCTTCCTGTTGGACTCATTAGGTAAATGCTCACATTAGGGCCTCAATAATAATCCATAATATTGTCTTGTTTGTCCTAAAACTAAATCTAAAAGTTAAGTGGATATAAATTAGAATTTATTAGTTGAGATCTATTCCAGAAGAAGTGATCAGCAAATTTAGATTTTTTATTTAGTAGTTTGTCACTCCTGCTTCTAGTGGTTCTCCCCTGGATATTGAGGGGCGTCCCGCTGACAGCTCCAGGCGAAGGAACGAGAGTACCCTGAGCTACAGAGAAGCACTGAGGAAGCAGGTAAAATAATTATTGCAGCTCAAAGAAGAATTTTGCAACAATGTCTTTGTTCAGATTACAGAAAAAGAAGAGAATGTAAGAAGAGAGAAAGAGAAGAAGAGGAGAGATGCTGCTGAGCTGCTGGATGAGATGGTGGTGTATGACCCCTGGGGGAAAGAAGGAGCAGGAGCACCAATTAAGGACAAACATGGAAACATTGTTTGTAAGTGGACTGGTCATTACATTCAATCAGTAGTTTTACATTTAGCAGTAGACAATAACACTTAAAAAAAACCAAACTCATCAGAGGAGTGACTCTTCCGGAGATATGCCTGTGTTACCTGTGCTTGAATCCAAAATGGATTAAAATATATTTCGATCTTTTAATTCAATCTCCACACGGGCTATAAATGTCACGTCTTCATAAAAGATGGGATGAAGATGTTATCATGCAAAGTGTGATTAGAATCCGGAAGCAGATGGAATCTGAGGATCAATGCATCATTTTTATTTGTTTCCATCCATTGGCTGTTCCTCTTGTGGGATGCCTTTTTTTCTTGGGTTAGGAGAAAGTAGCAGTGTGTACTCTGGACAGGTCCCCAGTCCATCACAGAGAAGCAATAATTTTTTTGTTATTGTTATTGGTAGATTTCATTGCATGGGGGTGTTTAACCCACACATGTAAACCAGGCCAGGATTTGACCCTCCCTTGCTGCAAGGCATGAGTCCTACAGTTGCTTCGCAATGCATGCTGCTATTTGCCTTCTTTCATCAGGAATCAATCAAACCTTACCACCTGGTCTGCATCCGCTTGATTGATGAGTGTTTAAAAAAAAATTAACATCTGGTTTAAGAGAGGAAGAGGCTTCGCAGCATCCGCTGCAGGCCCAGCAGGTTCTGCAACAGCTTTTCCCCCCACTGTTGAAATGTTGAACTCTAAACTGGACTCTGCATCACACCTGCAACATTATTTTGCACCACCACCACAGTGGCTGAACATTTAATAAATCTTTTTCAATAGGACACAAGTCAATGTCCTACTGCATTTTGCACCATATTTATTTTGCACTGCACTGAACCTTTCCATATAAACCCCTTTTCCACCATTATTTTTGCATTACGCAACTATGGTTTTGTTATATTAGTACATCTTTACTTTATTGTGGCTAGAATCTAAAGTAAATATACAGAAGCTGATTTACATTTCATTTAAAACACTAAAGACAAACATCAAGTTCTTTCTGTCTCTGTTTTCAGGTGACCTGAATCGGATGCACAGGATTAATAATAACAGACGGACCTCTCTGAGAGATGAAACGGGGGCTCCGATTTCTCAGCAAGGTTTCTGCATATCAGCTCTGTCCACATGTTTGTGCTTCAGCAGTTTTATGCTTATTTTTTTCCACTTTTTTGTGTCTTTTCTAACTTTGTAGGTCATCAGTCACTTCTGCAACAAGAAAGTTACAGAGAGCAATTGAAACAACAGGTGAATTAGAAGAGCTTACAGGAGTGTTGATGCATTGATTAAACCAAGTGGAGCTTTGTAGAGTTCTACTGAAAAGGTTTGAGTTGAGACTTTAGCTATTGGTTTTATTTCATTCACTTTTTTAATATAAACAGATTGAGCAGAACAAGAGAAAGAAGGAAGAAGAGCGAGAGCGTATTAGGATTGCTGAAGAGAAAGAGGAGATGGAGAGGGCCCGAATAAGGCAGCAATACGAGGACGAGAAAAGGAGAGAAAATGAGATGAGTGTGAGGGCTCCCACAATATCCCACCAACAACTTTCTCATGTTAGATCAGTTATACAGTCTCCTTTCTCTCACTCTCTCTCAGCAAAATCAAAACAAACAGAGATATCAGAATGAAAGTCATGACACCAAGACACCTGAGAGTAAACCTTCAGTACCCGGTGAGTCCGATCAAACCAGATTAGATCCACAGGACTTTTCCTGTAAACTAACATCAAAGTACAAGCCTTTGATGTTTTTTTTTTTTGATAGACCAACATAATTGGTGGTTAAATACTGAGTGGAAGGAACATGCTGTTCCTTCCACTCAGTCCCCCTTTTTTCTCAGGTCAGGAGTAAGAAGCAATGTGTACTCTGGACAGGTCCCCAGTCCATCACAGGAATGCACAGCTATTTTTTGTTTTTGTTATTGGTAGATTTCATTGAATGCAGGTGTTTAACCCAGACATGCAAACCAGGCCAGGATTTGACCCTCCCTTGCTGCAAGGCATGAGTCCTACAGTTGCTTCACCATGCAGGCTGCTATTTGCCTTCTTTAATCAGGAATCAATCAACCCTTACCCCCTGGTCGATTAATGAGTGTTTTTAAAAATTAAACATCTGGTTTAAATTCGCAGAGGAGCAATGTGTCTGAGGTATTTGTCATTATGCTGCCCCCTGGGCTTTGAAGCATCTGCTGCAGGTTCTGCATCAGCATTTTCCCCGCTGCCATTAGTGTGTTGAACTGTTGAACTCTAAACTCAACTCTGCATCACACTTGCAGCGTTATTTTGTACCCACAACATGGGCGTAGGTTTGCATAGGGACCATAGGGACATGTCCCTACCAAAGTTTTGAACCGACCTAATTGTCCCTACCAATAATTGGATGTGAGCAACATGTTTATAATTTACAGCAGTAGTTGTTGCAGCAGTGGCTTCTTTTCCTCTCGCAGCTCCTCTGCCTGCTCTCTTCTGTCCCTTTCACGCAGCAGCGCATGGAACTGTGCTGCGCTGTTTAACTCCACTCTCATTGGTTGTTCTGCCTTAGGTTCCGCCTTCTCTCTCTCTGATTGGCTGTTTTCTAGTCCTGGTGTGCTTGGAGCACAAAATTGAAAATTTATTCACACTAGAATGCTGCGTTTACTCCAATTAATATTAGGCTACAAAACTAGTCCCAATTAAAAAAAATGAATATCATGTACACTAAAAAACAAAAACATTTTTTTTTCTTTTATAAAGCGAAATATTCTGAGTCAGCCAGGAGTTCTGAAGACACAAAATGGGCAAATAAAGGCTGTAAGCCATCAACATTTCTGATTCTTATCCACAGCCAACAAGAAAAAGAAAAAGTTAGTGTTTCCTTTTTACCAATATTTAGTTGCTATTACTGGTTTAATTTTTTTATGACTCTTTGAGGAAGTTCAGGTATAATTATTAGCAGGTGTTATTTCTCTTATAGAGTACAACAACAAGAAATGGAGCCTAAACATCAGCTGTTTTTCGTTTAAAAAGCACAATTAGGGTTCCACATAATAATAGTTCTATTTTATTGACTATTTATACTTCTAGAAATAGGATAAAGACAAGAACAAAAAGAGGAAGAATATAAACATTGATTTTATCTTACATAGATTTCCACACAGTCTATAAGTAAATTAGTACAAACATTAATGTCTGGTAAAAATGCTGCTGAATCTGGCTGTTTATTTTGGATAATGTTAAATTACAGACAAGATAGTGTTATATTGTCTTTTATAATTGTTAAAAAATTTATTTTATATTTGAATACACTTAGGCTCATTCTTAGTGTTGTGTTTGTAGATGATGCCACTAAAAATAAAATAGACATACAGTAAGGAGCTATTTAAACAGTCAGACAGTAAGCAATATAGGACAATGATAAAAGGTTGTGTTACATTTAATCCTTTACTATTAAAATTGCACTTATACATTATATGATTATAGGAAACACAGATATCCAGTAATAATGATGCAGGGCAGCTTGTAGGTGAAGCAGCTGCCCTTCAGTGCTTCAGGTGATGTCTAAATAAACCAGGTGAAATTAAAGTATTTCCACATGAGGAGTACTGGATGGAGAATATTGACAGACAAAACATTTTTTTTATCTTATATATTATATATATATATATGTATATATATATATATATATATATATATATATATATATATATATTGTATTTTTACAATTTTGGTATAATTACTGATCTAAGTGGATTGCTCTGTAGGGGAAAGGGACATTTTACATTTATATTATGTTTTATAGTCTCCATTCTCCAGTTAATGATGAATCACTCACTAAATTAGTTGATGATTATTGAAATAATCAATTAATGCGATTAATTTTTTCAGCCCTAGATAAAATACATGAATGGGCTATACAGAGTAACTACAGCCCAGATGTTCAACTTTTATAGTGAAGTTAATATTTTAATGAATGTAATGTATTATTTTTGCTTGATACAGAGAGAGAGTATAGTAGGTACAAATATAAGAGTGGGGTTTAACTCTGCACAATTGTATATCTTCAAAAGAAAATACTGTATTTACCTTCTCTAATAATCATGCAAATGAAACCATTTACAAAGTGGAAAACAGTCCTAATTCCACATTCATCAGAGCCACCGATACTTCAAACAAGCATCTAATGAGTGTAGAGCTTATAACATTTTTATTAATGTAGCAAAATTATGCTTTTCTCTTTTAACAATGAATTTGTCTTATCAGTACGGATGCTCACATCGAGCATAAAAAAGGGCACGCATATTGCAGCACCAATGACACCCGACCAATAGTGTCCCTACCAAAGTTCAAATCAAACCTACGCCCTTGACCCACAACGTGGCTAAAAACTTTTACAATCCTTTTAAATTCGATACAACTCAATGTCCTACTGCATTTTGCACCATATTTATTTTACACTGCACTAAACATTTCCATATTGATGCCCTTTTGCACCATTATATTTTTAAACAGGTTTCCTTTTCTCCTACACTGTAAACATGCTGATCAATGCAGCACTTTATAAATGGTAATGTTCGTTTTACTGTTGTAAGCTGTAAGCAACCTTATTTCGTTTTGACAAAATGAAAAACCGGGTCTTAGTCCGAGCAATTCCTCAGGTTCTGTTCAAACATGGTTTTGTTGTATTTGTACGCCTTTACTTTATTGTGGCTAGAATCTAAAGTAAATATGCAGAAGATGATTTACATTTCTAAATTTCATTTAAAACACTAAAGACAAACATCAAGTTCTTTCTGTCTCTGTTTTCAGGTGACCTGAATCGGATGCACAGGATTAATAATAACAGACGGACCTCTCTGAGAGATGAAACGGGGGCTCCGATTTCTCAGCAAGGTTTCTGCATATCAGCTCTGTCCACATGTTTGTGCTTCAGCAGTTTTATGCTTATTTTTTTCCACTTTTTTGTGTCTTTTATAACTTTGTAGGTCATCAGTCACTTCTGCAACAAGAAAGTTACAGAGAGCAATTGAAACAACAGGTGAATTAGAAGAGCTTACAGGAGCGTTGATGTATTGATTAAACCAAGTGGAGCTTTGTAGAGTTCTACTGAAAAGGTTTGATTTTAGACTTTAGCTATTGGTTTTATTTCATTCACTTTTTTAATATAAACAGATTGGGCAGAACAAGAGAAAGAAGGAAGAAGAGCGAGAGCGTATTAGGATTGCTGAAAAGAAAGAGGAGATGGAGAGGGCCCGAATAAGGCAGCAATACGAGGACGAGAAAAGGAGAGAAAATGAGATGAGTGTGAGGGCTCCCACAATATCCCACCAACAACTTTCTCATGTTAGATCAGTTATACAGTCTCCTTTCTCTCACTCTCTCTCAGCAAAATCAAAACAAACAGAGATATCAGAATGAAAGTCATGACACCAAGGAGGCCATCAGCAATGGGCAGACAAAACAGACCTTACCTGAAAGTGCCTTTCTAAATGCTGACACGCCAAGGCTATCACCTGTTGTGAGTCCACTTAAATCAAAGACTGTAAATCATGAATGCACAACAATATCTTCACATTTTTATATTCGCTGTAGAGCAAGAAATAATGATTGATATTAAAAATATACATTTCTGCTAGGATCGTGTTGTTTCAGCTCCAAACACCCAACCGCTTCCTGAGAGTAAACCTTCAGTACCCGGTGAGTGTTGCTCTAAAAATAATTTATATTTAATGACTTTAGTTCATGAAACACTGAAAATGTATAGTGCAAAGCTGCATAGTAATTAAGTAGATTTACATCATTAGAGTACTGAATACTGTGTAACTGATACATGAAAGGCATACATTTTTACTTTAACCTAAACATCTAAGACATTATTACTTGTTTCAAATTAAATTTAAAGTATTTTTTCTAATGTGGAATCAGTATGAGAACAGTAGAAGAACTGGTCCACAAACCTTACTGGTGGGTGGTGATAATGCAACTGTCAAGTTTTAGATAATTTTTTAACTGTACCTCTGTAAAAAACAAATGTTTATTCCTTTTGCTTCTCTCAAGGGGTGAAAAGGTGATTTATATCACTATATTTCATTTTAAATATTCTCCTAAAAGTTGTTAAACTCAACTTAGTGTTAAATATTTCTGCTTTATTGGTGGTAAAGTGTAGTAAAGTTAATTATTTTTGCCTTTGAGTCAGTCCACTTTAGATTTTTCTCTCTCTGAGACACAGAGCTGACTTCATTCTATTCTTACAGAAGGCACATAGGTTTTCTAACGTAGACGGCACAGTTATGAATGTTATTATTCACGATATCTTTTGTGTTTTTCTGAGTTCTTATGGAAAGCAGTGTTGAGTTGAAAATAAATTTTTCCTCCATTTTTACCCAAGTAAAGGGACAAAATCACTTACACTTTCCTAATTATTGTGAGCAATTTTCAGACTCGAACTTAAGTACTTTTTCTATTAATGACTTTAACTTTTATCAAATTAATTTTCTGGCAACCTTATATTTTCCTTTTACTTAAAAGTATTATTTGAGTACTTTATACTCCTCTGGTAAAGTGTAGCATAACAGTTCAAGTGTATACAAGACTTGTAAATCACCAGATTTACTTTGTGTTGGTCTATTGCACAAAATCTATAAAAAAAAAAAAAAAAAAAACAACATGAAGGATTGTGGTAGTTTTGCATGGCACTAGAATCATAAATCTTTTTTTTCCTTCATGTTTTAAATTCTTATCCTTTTGTGCTCTTGATTGATTTTTCAGGAGATAAACAGGAAGTGATCAGAGAGCTGTCGGTTTTCCGTAAGCTTCTGAGGAAAAAACAGACGGAGCTGGAATTTGAGATGGCCTGGAGAAGAACTGTCCATTCTAACCTGAACAAGTGTTAAAGTATAGCAGATCATATTTCAAACATGCTTAAAAAGATTTGAAATTTCTGTCTGGTTAAAATACAATTCCATTTTTGTTAGAAGCACGAGACACTTTCTGTTCTCTGAATAAACAGCTCTAGTCCAAATCTGCTTGTCTCTGTTTGACCAGCATATACAATATGATCCAGAGCTGATGCCTTCAAACCTACAAAGAAATAAAGAACAAAGTTGCCAAAACTCTGCGTTTCTGCTTGTTGCTTCCCTGAACAGCCTCCTGAACAGCCTTGGGTGCCTGGTAGAGGTAGTACTGCAGATGCATCCATGGTGAGCCTAACTAGTGATAGATCAGGTCTATTGAATGATGAAGAGGTCTTTCTAGAAAGCGACTTTGGGACTGACTTTTCTAACCTCCTGGACCTCATAACAACATTGCTTCAATGCTAAAGCCCTGTGATAATGAAATCTGTCCAGTTTTATTTAGAAGATTTACTTTAGCTGTACAGAATGGAGTAGAGATGCACCAATTTGGATTAAAACCTGTAAGTTCCTATATTTAAATTTAGATTGGTATCAGTGAAAATGGCCCGGATGGATTGAGTCCATTTCTACAATCTATTGAACATCTGAAAGTTTTAACCCTTAAATGGTCAATAATAAATGAACCCAATTTGAACCCTTACAGTTGCTTATTTATTTTCAGGTTACAATCTCTCCAGTAAACGCAATTTACCATCTTTTTGACTTCCTTTTCTAATATTATGCTGATCTTAAGTGTCCTTTTGGGATATAAATAGTATTGAGAATGACACAGATATTAGATTTTCACATATACATTTATATTTTCACATGACCTGCTGCCCTCTGGTTTTCATGTGTGTTTGTCAGATGTTGTCATCACATACAGAAATACAACTGCAATCATATTATGAGTAACAAAAGCTTTTAATGACAGAATGAGTTAATGTAGCAAGTCAATATTTTCAGTGTTGACCCCTCTTCTTCAGGACCTCTGAATTCTCCCTGGCATGCTCTCAATCAACTTCTGGACCAAATCCTGACTGATAGCAGTCCATTCTTGCACAATCAATGCTTGCATTTGGTCAGAATTACTAGGTTTTCGTTTGTCCACCCGTCTCTTGATGATTGACCAGAAGTTTTCAATGGGATTAAGATCAGGGGAGTTTCCAGGCCATGGACCCAAAATCTCTATGTTTTGGACGGTTGGGAGAAGTTGCTCTCAGAGGACATTCTGGTACCATTTTTTATTCATGGCTGTGTTTTTAGCTAAGACTGTGAGAGAGCCGAATCCCTTGGCTGAGAAGCAACCCCAAACATGAATGGTTTCAGGATGCTTTACAGTTGGCATGAGACAAGACTGGTGGGAGCGCTCACCTCGTCTTCTCCGAACAAGTTTTTTTCCAGATGTCCCAAACAATCGGAAGGGGGATTCATCAGAGAAAATGACTTTACCCCAGTCCTCAGCAGTCCACTCCATGTACCTTTTGCAGAATATCAGTCTGTCCCTGATGTTTTTCTTGGTGAGAAGTAGCTTCTTTGCTGCCCTCCTTGAGACAAGGCCTTGCTCCAAGAGTCTCCGCCTCACAGTGCGTGCAGATGCACTCACACCTGCCTGTTGCCTTCCTGAGCAAGCTCTGCACTGCTGGTAGCCCGATCCCGCAGCTGAAACACTTTTAGGAGAAGGTCCTGGGGCTTGCTGGTCTTTCTTGGGCACCCTGGAGCCTTTTTGGCAACAATGGAACCTCTCTCCTTGAAGTTCTTGATGATGTGATAGATTGTTGACTGAGGTGCAATCTTTCTAGCTGCGATTCTCTTTCCTGTTAGGCCATTTTTGTGCAGTGCAATGATTCTTTAGAGATGACCATGGTTCACAGAAGAGAAACAATGATGCCAAGCACCAGCCTTTTTATAAAGTGTCCATTGGTGTCATTCTTACTTAATAATGACAGGTTGATCTCCAGCCCTGTCCTCATCACCACCCACACCTGTGTTAATGGAGCAATCACTGAAACGATGTTAGCTGGTCCTTTTCAGGCAGGGCTGCAATGACGTTGAAATGTGTTTTAGGGGATAAAGTTCATTTTCTAGGCAAATATTGACTTTGCAATTAATTTCTGTTACGCTGATCACTCTTTATAACATTCTGGAGTATATGCAAATTGCCGGTATAAAACTGAAGCAGAAGACTTTGTAAATATTAACATTTGAATCGTTCTCAAAACTTTTGGCCATGACTGTACATTCATACATACACTTGCTTGTAGAGAGAAGTTCTGGACAGCATCTTACAAAATCACCAATAATGCATTAAACATTAAAGCAGAGCTCTGGTATCAGAAAAGTATTAAGATCTACAGATATAAGTATGAGAACCTCTGCAGGGGTAAAAGGATTTAAAATTGAGATGAGGACTAATCAGATTCTCTATTGGATTTGATGAGAGGTGTGCACCTATGGAAGGTTATATCTGATTAAAAGAATAAAAAAAGTAACAAAAACATGCAATTTCATTAGCAGCATTACATCTAGAAGTAGTTTGACCTTTTAAATTTGAGGTGCGGCGAATAATTCCTGGTTTCTCAGAAAGCGGGGCTAGCTAATAAGACAGCTGTAGCCTTTCTCAGCAGAAGGAAAGAAGACAGTGAATAAATCTCAGAGCTACAACTGTTTTCACCACCAAACACATGCAGGGATTTTTATTTTCCAAGATTCGTGTGGCAGCTCTACTCATCAGGTTGGGAAGAGCTGCTTCCTGAACCCTCCAGCAGTCTAAGGTCCAAGCCAGTTTAGCACTTTGTTTCTTCTCTAGATAAACTGTGGCAAACAGCAGCTCCTGGCTCCACTCAGCAGCTGGCACTAACACAGGGAGTCTGCTGGCCATGTGAGCTGCAGGCTGCTGATAGCACAGGGCCCGGCGCCTGGGATTAAGGCAGTATAAACACTTCTTTTTTTCTTCATGTTTCTAATTTTTTTTAAGCTTTACTGCATGGAAGGGGTTTTATACCTCTCATTTTATTAATTGGCAAAATCCTTCAATATGAAAATTTAACCTTTCATTGTGTAGCTCCACCAAATGTGTGACAATCTTTGGTTTAGTCTTCATTGTCTACGGGACTCCAGGCTGGAAAACTCAACATCTCTGTCGAAACAGGATCAATTTATTTAGTCCCCATGAGCCAGTCTGCAGTGGGTTTTTTACACCCTGCGTGGCTTACAGCCTCTACACCTCCTTTGCTGAAGATGAATCAGCTCATGTTGTCCTTTGTTTTAAAAACCCAACAACATTGACATGGACCGTGGCATAATCCCAAATCGCCCCCTAACCCTTAACTATTGAGTCACTTCCAATTAAGTCTCACTCGCAGCTGTGGAAGGCGCCTTGATTGAAGGTGGGGGGGTATAAACAAGAATGGGACGGCCTCTTCCCTCCAACTGAAAAAGAAAGAAGTTGCTGCTATGGCAACACAGCGATTCCTCGTGTGTGGCTGTAGCTCTGTGGCGCAGGGTCACATAACATTAAACATTTGCCCCTTTCCTAAAACTAATGTATACGTTCAAATAAAACTATTTCAAGGAGGACCGTCCATTTTGGAATTAATAATAGATCTTTTTTTTTTCATAAACTAACTTGTGATTTTCTGTCAGTGTGGTGAAGATGCAGCAAACCAGTGGGATTTACATTTGGCAGAACATTTTTCCTCCGCCACCAGGGAGCTGTTACACCTGCCGAATTCCAGCGAGCCTGCAACTGATGCAGACACTGACACTACGGCGTTCGGGATGGCCCTAAATGTGGTGGACCCTCCGCAGGAATGCGCGGATGGAGGGTTAATGCTTAGGGACCGGTTTGCAGTTGGGCCAGAATCTGCAGGATAAATCAACATTAAACCTTTCCGTTTATGGATTAAAATATTAAACCCGATTGTAATTGTGTAGTTCTCCTGAATGTTGACGATGAACAAAATAAAACTCAGAGTCTTCATTTCAAATCAACCAAGTTCAAAAACTTTATTGACCTAGAACCTGATTAGAATGCCAGATGATGTATCGTACAGAAAGTTGTACATAATCTTTTGCAACATAGAAAACTTTACATTGCTGTATCATATACATTTAGTTTTCTACATCCATGAGCAGGAATGCATCCAATTTACACTTAAAGCACGGCTAACTTTTGTCCTCTTCTCTACACATATATCCTTCCCCAAACCAAAACAAAGAGAAAACCCTCCCAAAATATATTAATCAAGTTTTTGATTTTGTACAGTAGAACGATAACTAAACTCACATGAAAACAGAAAGTAGACTAGTGATTCCACAAAGCAGCTAGCATCAGTTTGCTTCCTTGTCTTCCAGCTCCAGAAGCCAGGTTATCATCTCATCCTTTAATAAAAACCCAAGAACATATAAAATGGAAATAATTTAACCCTTCACTTTCCACAGTCTTGTTTTAATTACAAATCATACCGTGTTGGACAATCTGGAGGAGGAGGAGGTGCAGTCAAATAAATTATCACAAAAGTAAAATCTCCAGTGCAATCAAGAAAGAAAAAAGATCAAGTGCAGCAAAAACCAAAAAATCCAAGAGAAAAATAAACAAAATCTAGTGTTAAAAGATTATTTTACACATCGGCAGATCTGTACAACTAGCTTCATCTGAGAGACTAACCAATGCTCAAGTTAGCCGTCTGCAGTGCAGAGATCATCGTCAGCCATGTGGGGGAGATAAACGTCACGCTTTGTAGTTGCTGAATATTTGCATGTAGATGAAATCATTCATTCTTCATTTATGTTAAACATACAGTAAGAAGCACGTGTTGAGGTTTAGATCAGATATATGACGGGTACATGTCAGTTGTTGATCAGTAGTTTTATCCAGTGGAGGCGTTGCTACACCAGGTGCAAGACATTTTTGACAAAAAGGACTCCTGCTGAGACAGTTCAGAGTTTTTGGTGGGTTTTTAACCTCCAACCCTTTGGGTGAAAGTATTCGGTGTGGAGCAGAAGGAAGGGAGAACCTGAGGAGGCGCAGCACAACCGCACAGATCAGCGGTGGGTTGGTTTGTGTGGGTGAGGTTTTGCTTTTTTTGTTTCGTTTTTTTAGGTGCAGCATCACTGGGCCTCCTTCCCCCCCTCCATGTCTGTTTGCGACTCCGTACGCCTCCCCTCAGGTTCGGTTTCAGGCTCAGGCAGCTGTGCAATGTTAAAGACGAGGCCGATGCGCAGGTAGAACTTCCTCAGAACGGTCCGGAGTTCAGGGATCAGGTCGAACTGCATGATCTCACAGAGGAGGGGGTAGTATCTGGATGCATGAGCCTTGAACTGAGGCAGATAGAAACAAAAAACAGTGATTTACAACCTTTTAAACTTCCCCCTGTTGTTTTATTTTAACCTAAAACCACAAAGTATGGAAGAGAAATACACCTTTTTTCAGATCGGCTAAGCACCTTCTTTAAAAATAACAACCTTTGAGAAGATGTTCAATCTATTTTTAAGCCCACATTTCTATATTATAAATATAAATATATTTTTTAATTGGTATTATGTAACATTCAGATCCTAAATATTTTATTAACTGTAAGGAAAAAAAAAACCTAAAATAAAAGTCATTATTCATAGAAAATTTTTACTTTAAATTTTGTACTTGAAACATAATTTATTGAATATGACTGTAAAGATTTGTTTCCATAAACCATGAAGTTTATAGAAAGAGCACAGAGAAAAGATTAATCTGAAACATGGTGGTGGCAGCATCATTGTGAGGAGATGCTTCTCATTGACAAAGACAGGGGAACTAAATATGAAGCATTGCTGGAAAAGAAAACCTACACTGCAAAGACGATCCAGAAATAAGTAAAAATTTCTTAAAAGAAGTGTATTTAGCCTTAATATGAAAAGGTAAATAAGATGATTTGTGAATGGAATGAGTTTTTTTACTCTTAAAATAAGATAATCAGATAATAAGCACTTGAAATAAGACAATGCAATGTTTTTTTTTCTTATTTTATATGAAAATTGTCTTGTTCTGTTTGCAAAGTGTCTCACTTTTCTCTTCAATTAAAGAAAAAGGTCGATTTCAATGTTTTGCAGTGTAGGAGCTGCATTAGTTTGCGACTTTGATCAGCCAGAGTTTCAATCAAAGCTTTAGATCAAATTCATGCATTTTAAATTTTTCTCTGTACAACATTTAAAACCAGAAATTTCCTAATGAGCATGATTCTCTGTTCTCACACAACACTTTAAAGAAACACAATGAAGTTTGTAGATTTAGTTTCATCAAATGTAAACAGAAAAATATAAAAAATATCATATCTATATATAAATCAGTGTTAATACCATTTTAAGGTTCTGTAGATGCTCTCTAATCTTAATAAACTTGCATATCTGTGTGTTTGTGTTTAAAATTCAGCTGGTGTTTTGGTTTCTTACCCTTTCATCGCTGATCCTCAGCACCTTGGTGAGGAACAGCAGCAGCAGGTTGGTCCAGGCCTCTCTGTGGCTCTCTGAGGTCAGAGCGAGGAAGTAGGCCAGAGCCTCGCTGCAAACGCTGAACACAACAGAAAACATTTCAGATTCACAGAAAGAACCTAAACCACTCATACATGCACGTAGCATCAAATTAGCAGAGAGAGACGGGGAAAAAATAAAAGGCCAGAAAGAGATTGATAGAAGGATTTTGGATAAATGAGAAGAGACCAAGACAATATAAACTCATACTAGTGTAGACAAACACCAGCCACTGAGATTACATCCAATCAGTATTGAGAATGAAATAACAGTAGTAAAAAATGTGAGAAATGTGAAAAGGTTCATCTGCACGGCACTACATCACTCTAAAAACAACTTCATTAAAACAACAAAGCAGGGAGAAAAACTGTTTTTAAAACATGATCCCAGCTTGGTGTTTTTAGTTCATGTGGCTGTGGAGAAGCCTCCAGAGTGTTTCCTATTCTCAGATGGTTGTAAAGGTTTAGTAGATGAAGCAGTGTTTTCTCCTCACTTGAGCAGTCGTCTCTGGACTTCCTCCCAGGCGTCCTGTCGGCTCTCGTCTGTGTACATGCGGAACAGAATGCGCAGCCCACATGCCAGACTGCTGGTCTCCTGCTTCAACAGGTTGGGCTTCGACTTTCCTTTGAAACCTTGAACATGAGCACAGTTAGAGCTACGGTTAAATGTTCAAACAACCAGCCTGCTTGCAGCAGGAGACCTGCTTCTCCTACCTGCTTTCCAGAGTAAGGTTCTCTGCTCGTTGTTAGAGTTGAAAGCCTTAGCAAAGCGATGCGACTCCAACAGGCAGTCCAGCAGCTTAAAAAGCTGCTCTGAGGTCAGATAGCGAAACATCCCTTGGTCCTGTGTCTCCACTTGGACGTCAGCAGCACACACGGCATCCCGCTTAAACAAATAAAAGATCATAAACCATCATTACCAAATATTCCTACACTGCTCCAACTCATCATCAGACATATCAATAAAAAGATGTCATACCTGAGCAGCAGCAAAGTTTTCAGCGTCCTCCTTCTTACTGGTAGCAGGAAAGAACACAATATTGTCAATGGTCTGGATGAGCTCCAGCTGCACGACGCACTTTATCAGTAGCGCAGAAAACAAGCGCTGCTCCTGGATTTCTGTAGGAAAGAGGGAAAATCTTAAATGTAGGGGAAAAATACGGAAAACAGAGCGATTAATCTCATTTCAAGGTAAGGGACCCACTCGTTGACGTCCTGCTCCTCGATCCATCCTCAAAGTTGCCCGACACCGAGCTGTGCTGGCTCTGCCGTCGGCTCTCCACCACAGCCCTGTCAGCGCTGCTGATGGAGTTCTGATCATCAGAACGTGACTGAATATCCAGGGACTTCTGGGATACGGAGTCCTGAGATCCAAGCAGACAAGAGTTAAGGAGGCATATGAAGAAAATCTGAATAAATGGTGGTATGAAATATTTCCTCACCAGCTGTTTGTCAGTCAGGCTGTGTGTTGCATAGTGCTCTCCATCTCCCCCTGCTGGTCTCCATGTTAACAACCTTAAAATCAAAGGAATTATAGATTAAAAACATGTCAGTTTCTTGTAGAAAATGAAACTTTTGACATGAAGACCCAGTTAAAACTGTTTTAAAAGGGCCTATATAATGCAAAATGATATAGCTTTTAACCATTTATGATGTCCCTGGCAAAACAAGTGGTTGGAGAATCTCCATGTAAGATGGCTTCCTCCAGAAACCACTACTTTAACAGAATGGTGCCATCACTGCAAACAAACACCGCTTCTTCTGATCAGAAAGAGACGAGTAGGGCTCAAGGTTGATATGAAGTGGCTCTGTTAGCAGCTGGTCTGCACAGGGACAGACATTCTTCTTTATTAGTTAATGTCCGAGCTGGAAAAATCTGTTTTTTCCGTAATTTCAGAATGAATTAATAACCAAATAATCTAAAGTCATTATTAGGTGATATACTTGGCTATAGGTGCATTTGTGAGGCTGTAAAAAATATGAATGTTGGATCTTTAATTACAATAAAATTGATTTAGGTGATTTGCTATCTATATTATTTAAAGCAAATCAAATGTGAAACTTGATTGTTCAGGCTTTAAATAGTGACGTACTGGAGGAAGAACTTCTAGAATAATGGGGTAGGAAATAAAAAACTGCAGGTATCTATTCATATAGACTTTCTCAGAGTTTGTAGAGACTCTGTACAGGAAGAAAAAGCTTCTTGGTTTAGCGTCGCCTCAGCTGTTGGCTCAAGCAGCGTTACCATGGGCAACAGGGATGGAGCCTGACTGCTTCTTTTGGGTCAAAGCTGAATGTTTAGAACACATTGTGCTGTATATCACAAAATAAAGAAAATAAACAATGGGTAACTAATCTATCAAATGTACTTCTTGCTATTAAACTAATAAATGTCATAATAAACTAATATATTAATAGACGTAGCCACACTAAACTTAATTCACTGCAGACTGAAAATGTTTTGTCATTGTCTCCTTTCTATCTCTTCTTTATTTCATCTTTTCACTTTTTTTTCCTTTTCTTCTTCTGTTTTTCTGCTCTATTTACATTGCAGTGTCCATATAAACTATAAACCTCCCTGCATAATTATAATAAAGCAATTTATATGCATGAAACAAGTGGAGCAATATGGCAATTGCCATACTGCTACACTTGTGAAAGTAAAATCTGTTGGGCTCTTTTTGGCATCAAGACAATTATTCTTATTGCCACATTGCCAGACAGGACACTGTAAAAAAAAAAAGAAAAAAAGTTAGTCTTATTATTCCTCTTTACCGGCAGGTTCAGTAAGTTTGCATGCAGAGCGGTGACCCTGCTAGGCTTGGTCTTTTCTGCATACGTTCACCTAGTTGGCCAGAATATTAGGTACAATTTGGGATCTCATGCTGCTCCAGACCATGCGGAGTCTGGGTGTGGTTAATAAAGGGATGTTTCACTAGTACAGGTGTGTGCTTATTGTTGCATCTATCAGATTTCTTTGTATTTATTTAGCCACTTTGTGCTAAAATTGGGTGTTGTTAACTTGTCTTGACTAATTTTGTTGCCCAGTGTGCTGAATCTCTCCTACCACGTTAAATTACACAGCCCACCGTCACTTTTGCCCAAAAGTTTAAATAAATTCGCTGTAAATGTCGAGTCACACTAAGGGCTGTTCGGTTTAATTGTCATCATTAGCAATAGCAACGTTTTATTTAGTCTGAGATGGTGGGATTGAACGGTTCTCTGATTCCAGATGTTTGAATTCATATGCAGTGCTATATGCATCTGCGAAGGGAGTTACGTTCTGTATCATTATCATGCTTCTTATTTATTTATTTTTTACAAAAATACAAAATCTTAAATTGGCCTTGATAAAATATGTAAGCCTGAGAAAACTAGACTAAAGTATAAAGATGTGAGACTGAGCCAAAAACCAGAAAAAAACCAAAAAGACCGGTCTTTAGACCTCTATCCCTGATGGGCAGACAGAGCCAAGTGAAAATTAATCAATTATTTTACACTGCAAGCCTGAAGAAGCAGACTGATATAAATAGTGCCAACGCAGGGATACATGGGTGTTGCTGAGATTAGTAAGCGTTGTGTTCAGGGACCGGTCCAACTTAACATGCATTTCAATATCTAGAAGCCTGTTTAACTATTAAAAGCTCCTCTCAGCAGTCATTTATCAGAAGAAAATGAATATCCTTATTATCCTCATTAAGGTTTCACCATAAAAGGTTTAAAGAAACATTATATATGAAAATAAACAACTATGTTTTATTGAAAATCACAGAGTATTTAGCCTGTTTGTTTTTTTCAAACTAACAAATTCAGCTTCTTTCCTACTTTGAAGGCCCAGACATGTAGCAGAGAGGCAGCTTACACATGGGGGATTGTTGTCTTGAAGATGTCCAGCATGCAGTTACACGTCTTGTCCCAGGTCTCTGGGGAGAACTTCTCCCCGTTGAGGATGACCACGTTCTCTAGACAGTTGGTGCCTGAACGGGCAAGTTGCTCGTTATCTTCAGAGGAAGAGGCAAAGGCAGAGGAGGGAGAAGCACATGGAGTGGATATTAATTTAATGAAGAAAGTAAAATAAAGATATGTTCTTTATGATTTTCAAACTAGTGCACAATGCTGATGCAGCAGGTTACTGACCTTGTTGCACACACCAGTAGAGCTGAGCCAGGATATCATCTAATAGGAGACCATTGAGGGATTCAAAGTATTGGGTGAAGACGTCGCAGATGGCATAAAGTGCATGGTTGCATGTTGTGGTCATCCACTCTGCTTTCTGAGGGTTCAACAATAAAAGCCTCATTAGTGGGAACTCCTCTCAACTCAGCAGGACAAGAACACAGACAGAACGAAGCTGAGGTTTTAGTGTCGCTGATGAAGCATAAAGACAAAAAAAAAAGCAAATGAGTCGATGGAGATGAAAGCCTTGTCCTTTACCTCAGTCTGCTGCTCGGGTAGCTTCATGTTGTCAAAGATCCTAAAGACGATCCTGAACAGGTCCTGCCACCAGTGCTTCTCGAAGGTGTGTCCGTAAGTCTTCATCACTTCAAACATCACTGTGAGCCCCCTGGAAGAGCAAACGCATTCATTTGAATGCTTTCAACTGAAAATCAACATTTCAACTCTTTCTCCTTTATGTATTAAAGAAGATTTTTCTCAGAAATTAAGTGTCCATATTAATCTAAAATTGATGAGTGGCATTCTAGTACTTATTTGTGTAATCTATGGTAATTAGCAATTTGGTTAGCATTAGCTATAAGGATCAAACTTTTCTGATGGAAAATGGAGAGGAAAAAAAATTGAGATTAAGTGGAGATTTTCTCATCATGAAATGTTTTTATAATGAATATGCTGGATTATTTCTAATCTGTGGACCCATAAGGACAAATGGAATAAATATATATATATATATATATATATATATATATATATATATATATATATATATATATATATATATAAATAAAAGATTGGATTTATAATACGGCTTCAGGATTGCTTCAAAGGTAGGAAGTCTGAGAGTAATTTTAGAAATTCTGATTTAACATGCTGCTATATCTTTATTGTGCATTGGTGCATATAGTGTCCATAAAATGAACTTTGTGGTTGAATTGTGGATAATCTAAGCTCTCTAAGGATGTCTATTTGGTCAAAGTTTAACCAGTGTTATTTTCTGCTGTAAATACTCAAAACGGAGTGCCTGTGTTATGGCAGGCAGGTATTCCTCTGCATTGATCTGTCCACCACAACTCAATTTTAGGGCATCCATGCATAAGAAATATGAAAACCTTAAGAATATGTTTAAAAGTTCTCTTTTCATTCATTTTTCAATTTGTTTTCTCATGAGTGTGAGAGAGGGGAGATAATTCTCGGCAGGCAGGTATTTCTCTGCATAACAGCGTGGGGACGTTAGAGAACTTTTACGAAGGAGGTATTGTGCATTGAAAAATACACAAACAGCCGTCGGACATATCTTCCACCACAGACTCCTCTTTCATGCCTTTAATCCAAAACAGGTTTGGTTGCTGCTTATAGTTCAGCTCATACAGTTTGTTGCAAAACAACATCTCACTTTATTCTACTTCACTTCTTTTATAGAGGTTAAGATCATAATTGTGTATAATTTCTGTTTCTTCTGCCCAACTAAAAATCTAAATAGTCTAGGACACATCTGCATTCAGCTTAGTTGGTTTATCCCAATAAAACCCAGTGAAGTGTTTGGCTTTACCACCTAGAGTCCCGCCTACCTGGTTCTGACATCCAGTTTACACCTGTTGATGATGCAGGAGAGCTCGAAGAGGATGGGGAACCACCCTCGCACCCAAACTCGGTCCTCTGGAGCTACATTCATGTCGTCACTGGTGTAGTCTTTGAAGGCCTGCTGGTGACATACAAACACAAGTTATACATCTGACAGGTTTTAAAAAGCATGAGTAAGATTCCAGGGTCTTATGGCTGGGCTTTGACCTGAGGTCTCTCTGAGACGTATTTGGCGCAATGGCGAATGAGGCGGATGGCCTCCATGCTGGTGTCTGGGAAAGAGGCGTTGCAGGCAAACTCTGAGAGACACTTGACGGCGTCCTGGAAGGAGTCGATCGTTGCTGCAAAGTGCTTCTCGAATACATTCGCTGAGGAAGATTTGAAGAGAAAGGAAAAAGAACAGAACAAACAAACGATGAGCTCAGAAGATGATTTCTGATTAAACCGACAGAAATATTCAAGCTTAGTTCTCAGCCATAATGAATGGTCTTATAATAACTGATCATTTCTTTAAAGGAAAGGATAAACAATTGGTTCAAAGCCTATTTCGGTTACTGAATAAATCAAACAGGAAATTATTTATTTTGAAGGAGTAACAGAGTTTTTCTTTTTTAAATTCATGGAAAATCCTCCACTATACCTTTAAACATGTAAGTATCACAATATTTAATATATAAAATAATTAGATTGTTTCTGTCTATATATTAAAAAATGTTTGATTTTAATTTAATTTTATTGAATTGTAGAAATTTACCTCTGCATTTAACCCATCCCAGTGGGCTGCCATCGTGGGGCGCCTGGGGAGCAGTGTGGGGTTTAGGGTCTTTGCTCAGGGACCCAGAGTGGCAGTCTGTGGGAGTGGGGCTTAAACTCAGGATTCAAACCATTTTAATTATGTATCCCTAAAACATTATGGGTGAATTACTTTATTTTTTTTAATATTCCTTTTAGTACAGTAACATGAGATATAGAGAAACAGTCCCAGTCTGGTCCCAGACGACAAGTCCTAGTCATGTCGGATGTTTGTTTTAGTAAAGTTTGATGTAACCAAGCTGTCATTTCTGTCAGATAAACATCAAGACCTCCGGTATGTTTGAATGCCCACAATGTCCCCAATCTGATCTAAAACTTGGTTGACCATAAATAGTTCAAACAGAAAATAAAATGATCTGATCCTGATCTGTACCAACCGTTCGATACAGATGAAATCTTTTAAGTACCGGTATCCACAGGACTGTCTTAATTTTCCAGAAAAACGTCACACTTATGTTGCCTCATATGGAGCGGAGGTTATTTTACTACAAAGATCTAAATGGGTGTGTGTATGGACGCCAATCGGAATGGAGTTTGTATAAAAAAATAAAATAAAAAAAACACACCTCTCTCTTTCGGAATGAAATTTATTTCCCACCGGACTCAATCAGATTAGAATCTACATGAAACTTTGATCTGATCAGGCCTTCAACCAATTAATTATGTCCATGGAAACGTAGCTAATGTGAAATAAGTTGAGAGTGTGGGACTCACTGACGATGTGTCCGGTGGTCTGGAAGGCCAACTCCACGATGCTTTCGTCCTGATCGGACGCCGCCAGGTGAAACACTGAGAAGATGTTCTTCCAGCCTGAACGGATGTTGGCTGCCTGGGAGTTCACCATCTGAGCTATACAGCGCACCACCATGTCTCTGATGGTGGGAGACCTGAAGAAAATATTTTTGTTATTTATTACCAATACCAATTAGCTCTGCATCTTCATGCTTGTTGTGACCTGGAGATTATGAAAGATTTGCTTGGGCTGGTTTTTGGCAGCAGCTGTTGCCATAGCAAGGAGCATTTACAACTGCATGAATGAGAGAAAAGCTCTGCTAACCATCTCTCACACAGACAGAAACATGAGCGACTCCAATGGGCTCAGCTCTCTGCCCGGTTTACATGGCTCCCAGCCATCTGCTCCCTGCTGAAGACTGTGAGCGGATTCTTGTTTAAACTCCTGCTTCTTGTCAGCAAAGCTGTGGTGCAGCCTCAGCTTTTAACATGCAGACAGTTACAAAAGCAACGTCTGGACTGCAAAGGATTGTTTGTCCAATTTGGATTTAAAGTCTGACTCAATCCAAACAGTGATAAAAAAGAAAAGCATTTTCATGTGAACTCGGTGGGGAAGTAATGCAAGAAGACTGAAATGGGTCAGCTGAAAGGTTTGCATGAGTCTGAGTGGGAAAACAAATCACTCACAGCTTTAGGGAGAGATGGACAGGAAATAAAAATGATGGGGAAAGTGGCATAGCGAGTTTCTTTCGGTACCTGTTTTTTTTCATGATGTGCTCGAATGGCCTCAAAAAGTCCTTCTGGAAGCGGAAGTTAGCCAGCTCCCCTTTCTCCAGGAACTTCATGGACAGCTGCCTGAGAGAATCCACGGCAAATATTGCTACGTCTTCATTGGGATTACAGCCAACCTGGAGAATATAACATTTCTCTAAGTTAATATTTCCTACTCTCTGTCATCCTGCTTAGCAAATCATTAAGTTCATGTTTCCTTGAGCAAACTGGGAAAAAAAGAAACTTTTAACCCTGCAAAACATATAAAACATTCATGATAATGTTTAATAAATGAGTTCAGGACCTTGAGGATGAAAACTGGGGATATTTATTTATATAAATGAGCTTCTGAATCATCAGTAAACACACAAAATCACTTTTTTTGGGAAAGAAGATAAACATTATGTATATTATTAATCCGCAGAGGAAGGAATGGAGGAAGCAAGGGAAGAAAGGGGGAAGAATGCAACCTAAGAAAAAAGGGAGAAGGTGGAACTGAAGTAAAAGAGGAGAGGAATAAAATGAATAAAACAATTCCAAAAAGGACGGCCTTTATCACACGCCTACCTTATTGAAGTGGTCTCCGATCACCTCCCAGATCCTGGACCACTGCAGCCTGATGCGGCCCATGTTGTAGTAGGAGATTTCGACTATCTTCTGCAGGCTGAACATGCGAGGATGTGTGGGCGAGGCCAGCTCATCCATGGACACAGCACACAGCCAGCGCACAAAGTCCACTGATGGACAGAAAATATTAAAATCATCCCCAATGAAAACTAAAACAGGAGCATGAGTCACAACAACATAGAAAAAAGCAACAATAAAAAAAGCTCTTGAAGCACAACGAAGAACGTCTTGACTCACCTATTGCGTTTCCATCTAATCTGGTGGAGCCTGTGAATATCCTAAAAACATTCAATAATAATTTGTAAAGTATGTGTCAAAAAAACAAGCTCAAGGCAACAGATGTTGGGTTAATAGGAGCAAGTATTCATACCTATCCACAGCCACCACCACGCTCTGAGAGCTCGTCTCCCCAATGGATTCCTGGATGCTGGCAATTTGCTTACGGTCCACTGTTCCTCCAACTACAGAGAAAAGTGGATCCACCATTAGATGCTGAGTACCATCCCCAGGGGCATAGATGTTGTGTTTATGACTCTGTGATGGATCTGAAGGTTCATTACTGACCTAGACCTAGGTACTCATCATTATTCTGTTCTTTCGTGCTTGTGATGAAGCCGTCTTTGCTGCGCACCGTCCCTGAGATGTAACGTGCCTTCACCCCCGTACCAATCAGCTGAGCCAGCTCCAGCTGACTGATGCACTTCATGATCTGAGAGGAGGAAACGACCAGAGATCAGAGAGGCACCACTAAAAACAGACAGGTTGAACTACTTCCAGAGAGAGAGCTACTGAATATTATGTTGGAGATACATTTGAATGATTTGGATTAAAGTATATTCAGAATACGGACTAACTGATGTTAGAAACGGCGTCTAGCTGTGAATTCAAGTCCAAAACAAAGTTATGATGCTGAGTTTTGCAGATAAAGTATGATACAGAACTGATTACAACTGATCAGAAAGATAATATAAGAAAACAAGTATAAATGTATAAGTCTCCCAGGCTAATGCAGACCTCATGCCAGGAGTTCCCCAGGTAGTTGCCATCAGTGTGCGCCACAGTGATCAGGGTCTTGATTGTGTCGATGTTCTTCTGCTTCATCTCTGCGATGCCGGAGCTGGCTGTCAGCAGGGTGAACCTGGCCAAAGCCTGAACGTAAGCATCCCTCTCCAGCTGTTAAGAAATACAAAAAAGGTTACCAAAACCCTTTTTGTTTTCCAAGGCTCAACTTTCTTGATTTTTATGCCAGTTTTTTTTTTCTTTACACATTATGGTGATTTAATTAAAAAAGCCTGTGAAAAAGACGTATTTCAGAATTTATGCTCCAAGTCTGGCTCTTATTATATAGATGCAGTAGAACACAGGGTGATTTTATTTTTTTAATCATGCCTTTAAGGTCAACCAAAATCCAGTTCCTCAGCAAACATTAGATTACATTAGATGGATAAAAAATGTATTTTAATGCAGAAATGTAGTCATGCAGGCTGTCATTGAGGGTTAAGCTACTGATGGTCTTTACTAACCAAGATGGCTGCTTAGAATGTTGTATGCTGTGGAAGGTTGAGTGGAAGAAAAAAAACTGCAACTGGATCCAAAATAATAACTAGTCTTAGTAGAACTTTGAATCTATGTCTATTTAATAACTTGGAGACGAAATGGCCTTATAATTATTTTATAATTTTAATTTCTGTAAATATAGCTAAATCATCAAAATAAAAATTTAGATTAGGGCTGCAACTAACAATTGTTTTGCAAATCGATTAATCGATTAATAATCGGATGGCCAAAGGTTCCTTGAAAAAAGATTTCCAACGAAATTGAACCAAGTGAAACTAATACTTTTCCACTTAAAGAGATCAGGATAGAGCATAATGACAGAAGGAAAATATTTCTTTCAATCTTAAATGGAAAATTTTTTACATATTTTTTTTTTTTTACAATTTTGATATAATAAATAAGAGGATTGCTCTGTCAGCAGAAGGCATGTTTTTCAGGCTCTATACTCCAGTTAATGATTCATCAATTACTAAATTAGTTTGCGATTATTTCAATAATCGATTAATCACAATTAATACGATTAATTGTTTCAGTCCTCACTGAAATACACATTTATTTTTGACATATTTATATACAAATTTGTCTTAGTTCCATATCTAAAATAAAATAAAATGTTTAGAAAAAAAAAACTTTAATTGGTTATTATGGAGGTAAAAAAAAATGTTTTGTCTTTTCAACATATAAACACACAAATATATATATATATATATATATATATATATATATATATATATATATATATATATATATATATATATATCATATCATAATACAAACATAGACACATGTATAGGTAGGTTCTTTGACAGAAAATAAAGACATCTAACAAAACTATGATGTTACGATCTTTTATAACTTAAATACTGTTTAAATTGTACCGTTAATATTGAACAAGAGGTAAAATGTTTTTTTTTTTACTTTGATTAATAAAAAAATGAAAAATGGAACCTGTTACTGTGATTTAAGGCGTTGTACCTGTATGCAGAAGATGCATGCTATCCTGATGGCGCAGCGTATTCCTTCGAGACACAGCGACGCCACTTCAGTGTCATCGCAGTCCTGCAGGCCCACGCTGAAAGCAGCCAGGAAGGGCGTCCATGCCAGCTGGGAAACGCCACACACACATACCAATGAGATTCCCACATCAATATCTTGCTGACTAAAACCTCAGCAGTGTGTGTGGGTTCTTAGGTGACATACCTTGAACATGGGCCTGACGTGCTCCAGATGCGTGGCGCTGGTGAAGGGAGCCTGGACGTGGCTGACGGCCTCCATCAGAGCTTTTGCCGTCTTGGCCATCTGCTCCATTTCCACGTTGTACAGCAGACGCCTCTGCTTCTCGCTGGCCACGCCTACATAAAGGCAAACCCCACAGAGTCAAACATGAAGGCAGTCTAGAAGAGATAACATTTAGATTTTCCCTAACTATAAGAATTTATGGCTTCTGGCATGGACCCTATAGGCAGTTCCTCATGGTAATGACATAAAGGGGGAGCAGAAGCAGAGACACATCATGTAACTGCTCCTTCGGTTGTGCTTTAAACAAATTGTCCTATACTTAAAGCTGGCTGCTGAGAATAAGGCAACTACGCTACCTGCTTTGTCCACAACTGCACTGCATTTCAACCTGCCCAAGATCATTTTCTACATTTTGATTGGCTGAGGGCATCATTCATGCAATCAGACTCACTCTGCTTATTGGACTTCATGGTGAGCTCCTTTGTTTCCTTCATTGCAATCTTCTTCCCAGCGATCTCATCGTATATGGCTGAGAGATACTCCTCAGGCAGGTCTTTGCTGTCATTGATGCCACGGTTCATCTTGATGTATTGTTCTTTCGTCATTTTATTCTTTACCTTTGCGAGTTTCAAAGACAAAACCAAGTTAAAAACAGCTCAGGCACCGGTATTTTACAGATATCTAGAGACGGCTTTCGGCAAAACACTAAAACTGCTTCCCAGAGGCCGACCTCCTACCTGTGGGCTGTGAAGGTCTGTTGTCAACATGATGATTGAGTAGGCGAGAACGTATGCTGTATCTGCACTGGCAAAGAGGGTTTGTCTGGAGCATTGGAAACAAAAACAAATCTAGATGAAAAGACTGAATAACTTGCAAAGAAATTCCACATTTGATCCCATTTCCTTTCAGTTTTGTAGAAAATCAAATTAAACTCACCCCTGATTGCACTCCAGGTATCTTGCTGCAAACTTCTCCATGAGACGGTCGATTTTTTGGGCCTCGCCAGGCAGCCGAAAGCCCTCCAGGAACATCCTTAGTGCGGAGACAAAGTCTTTTCCCTGGAAGTCCATTTGATCGACGTAGGCGTACATCACCTCTTTATTGAAACGGTCATTATCACCGAGGAATTCCCCCACCTGGGTCTAAACAGAGCAGCACACAGAGGTCAGGCTGCACATCGCGGCCACAGCGACCCTGCAGGGTCGTTTCACTCGAGTTAAACATAACCTGTCTTTATGATTAGCAGACAATATAAAGGCTGTCAAATCAGGGACTGTTTTTCTTTAGTGCATTAATTAATTCTGCATGACTCTAATTAAGTGTTTCATGTAGAGCCAAAGGAAGGTCATGTTACTGTGATATAAAAACAAAAAGACAGATACAATCAGTTTTAATCAACCAGATTAATATAATAAAAATTGAATTAATTAATTTCAATCCAAGTCAGAACAATACCTCTTAAACAAGGTTATCTATGTTTGGTAGGGATCACTTGATGTGAGCTAAACCTTTTGGTCAAGGATCCAAACAAATCTAACTAAAAGACTGTTGTCATCATTCCATGTAAATGTTTAGGTGAAATTATCCATATTAAACATTAATCTTAGGGAAAGATTGTTTACTAATATGTATTATATATGTATACTAATTGTGTATTAATAATGTATTTGTTGATAAAATGAAAGGGTTTGCGTTTAACTTTTTAAATCAGTCCATTTTATGCATTTATTGCACAAAATATAAATGTTTCCCTTTAAAAACAATGATTTTTAGCTATCATGATCATTAATAAGTAAAGATGATAAAGTATTATATAAGATAATATAATATAAAATGGAGCTCAGAGTGCAATTTTAAAAGTATTTTAATATTTACTTTTCTTTTCACGTAAAATAAAATCCCTTTCTTACAGAGTCAAGCCTCTCCTCCTGGTGCAAGAACTGTGCAAGGTCCTCTGGGGTTGTACCCAGCATGCCTTGCTCTTGAAGATACTGGATTCCTCTCTTTGGTTTTTTGTTAAACCTTAAGGAAAATATAAACAGGTCAGACTTAATGCAGCTAGATAAAAAACTCAATCTTTATCGGGATGAATCCACTGCATGGGCACCCACAGGTCAATCCCCTGCTCGATAATCTCCTTCTGCTGTTTGAGAACTTCAAACTGTTCGGGGTTGTCTGTGCCGGACATCTGCGTGCTGTAGCTACCGATGCCAGAGGAGGCTGTGGAGTCCAGGGAGTTAATGCTGCCATAACGGTTTATGGTCTCTGGGGCCTTGGTCTCCGTACTCTCCTGCTCTGAAGGTTTCTCCTGGCCTGAAGACAAAAAGGAAAGGAAAGCAAAACCAATAAATCTACTGTGTTGATGACAAAGTGCAGCTACAGCCATTAGAAAAATAGCTAAATCTGGTTTTACTACCAGCTTTGAGGCAAACAAAGCTAACATGTGATAAACGAAATAAGAATTTTAAGCTGGAAACCATAAAAAAGTGATACTGGGGCTGTTTGGATAGACAGAAGGAAATTTTCTTTTCCATCAATATTGAGACCTAAAAACTACCTAAATGCACACTTACCCCAAAGAAACAACCATAAAATGGTGCAACACAAAGAAGCAACTGTGCTTTTATGCGCTGGGTGTTATCCAAAACACTGCAGGCACTATAAACAGGGAGAAATGTGAGCTGAAGGTCAGAAAGGTTTGTTTACTAAGCCATGTGAGATGAGCTAAAGGATCCACTGCTGTTGCAGGAGCAGGTTCATCCTGCAACCTAGTCTGAGTTTAACTGAAGCGTCTGATTACCCAACAGGAACTCTTTAAACATTCAGGAGAGCCTTGCAGAAATGTTGGCAAGCGGTTACATATTCTCAAAGTTAGAGTGAGGGAAGAGATCATTGAGAATACAAATAATAAATATACTCAACACAACATTTTACATCTATATTTTAATCCTGACTGAATATAAAACTACAGTAAATATGCTCCAGGTTAGAAGCCTGGTCTGACTCATAAGGTTAAGTTAGACAAAACACGGTTCTGGTTACGGTGCAACATAAAACCTTCACCTCACAATTTGTGTAACAGAATAAGCAACAGGTTGGAGTCTGGTATCGGTGTTTATCATAGTTTTAAAGAGAAGCTCTTTTTAAAACAGCTAACTTAAAAGATGTTTTTCCTCTGATGTTAGGTCAGAGTTCGACTCGGTTCAGTCAGAATAATTTTTATTGAACATTTAGAGGTTTTTCTAAATTGCATAACAAAAATATACAGGAAAAATCTGTTTACTCAAGATAAAAAAGGTATAAAGAAGAAAACAAGAGCGGGAGCCAAAGGACTTTGTGCCAATTCAACACTTTACAGTATTTACCTTCATACCTTCCAGCTTCCATTTTGCATCATTTAATAAACCATTTCATCCCCACATTCTAATGCTGTGGTCTATGGTTTCAACTTTTATACAGCTAAGTTTTTTAATAGATTATAGAGATTGCTTAAAATACCAAAAAGTCTAAAATAGTTCAGACTTAACGTTCTATCACTGACATTAAAGAAGGGAAAATTTTCTCATAAACCAGCTCTTATTATTAAAAGATATGATACTATTACCAACTAAAATGTGATTTTTGATATTTTAAGCCCTTTAATTAAACAATAATGCATGTTGGTGATATTTTAACTAAAGAGATTATTCTGAACAATAAGCATGTTTAGTTGAAACCTTGTACTAAATACTGTGGTTGTTTATTTTTGCTTCACTCTCAACAGTATAAGTCTACTATAAGAGTTTTTAACATTAATTTCTTAGTTCGGGACCAATGCGGGGTTTGTTTCTTGAATAGCGACCACCAGGAGCCCTCTGTGCCTCTTAATGCATTTGCAAGAAAAACACCATAAAAAAACATAGTGGATAAAATTATTCTAGCATAGATGTTAAACAAATCAGGCTTAAATTAACCGCACTAGTACTATATTATTTTTCTGTTTTAATATCTATATACGTAAAAATCTGTCCTGATCCACATTGTTAACCTGGGGGAAAACGCCAAGATGTTTATTATAAAGCATTTCTAATATAATTGTAATCCATCATTAAACGAATAAATTGAAATGAGTGATTTAAAAAAAATTAAAAAGTTGGTGAATTGTACATTGTTATTTAAAGAAAATATTTTTCTTTCTTTAATTTTTTCCATTGGGACATTGGCAAATTTGAAGAATATGATTAAATGCAGTTACAAAGGGATTTTTAGCGATATAAATCGAATTTCTGTGTATAACTGGTGTCCTGAACAGGCCTATTTTAAAGTTGTAAATTTTTTTCTAGAGCTGTGTTTGTGATTGCGGTGCTGTGATTGCTTTGGCATGCAGTCACAGCAATAAAGTTATCAAAGAACAACTTCAAATAGTTGAATCACTATTTTATCACTATCACAACAGTTCCACAAAAGAACCTAATAAAATTTGATCCTATTTATCTTATTAGTGTAATTAAAATCAGCCTCCTGCTTAAAGATATTTCTAATGAAAAAATAAAACCAAATTTCCTGCAAAAACATACAAGTCAGAGGTTGACGTTAAGGGCAAGTGGCTTTCACATTTCATTTGCCCAGAAACAATTTTTACTTGCCCAGTATAATGTTAGATAAATATAGTTCCTAATATTCATTTTTGTGTATATATCAATGAAACATGTTTGTTTTTTAAATGTTTTTAGTAATTCAGGTTCCTGGTGTGTATATGCATGCGTCAGATAATGAACTCAAGCCTACATTACCGTGTTAACATGCTTTTCAATCCTTCCTGCACATTCTTTTCAAACTAAACTTTGCTTTAAAGTTTAAACTGTTGTGTGCTTAGAAAAATATAAATTGTAATGTTAAAAATCTAAAAAAAAAACTTAACAGGTTAAAAACTTACTCTACTACTACTCACCACTTTAACATGTTTATCTCTATAACATTTAAATGCACCACTCCAATGTCTAAGAGAAAAAATTTAATGAACATTTTTTAATGTATGACCACTGTGCAGAAGACTGCCATATGATAGGAATATTTACACTGTGCGCATATAATTATTATTATCATTTCCTAATCCCTGACTGATCATTTTTAGTCTAGCATGTATTATAGTATAGATTAAATTCATCATCCAGCTGCTGCTCTGCAGAATTCTCTCCCCAAAAGCTGAATCTCGCCATCTAGCGGAAAATCAGGCGGCTTTTTCAAATAATGCGGGAATGTGTTCAAAACAACAAAAATGGCACCGGCAACGCTTCTGGGTGATTTTGAGTGATAAAAAATTTTTTTTTTGCGATCATTGCACTTGCCCGGCGGGCAAATGAAATGAAATTTGTACTCCCCCAACAATAAAAACTACTTGCAACCAAAGAATAAAGCTGCAATGTGCATAGCGAACAAGCTGCTAGAGCTCTGAATTGGCTGATACAGATATTGATCCGTTACGATATTAGTATGAATCAAACCAGCTCCTATTGATTATTTTATACTGTAGATCGTTAGAAAAGGCTCAGTAAAGGAAACGGTATGAAAACAAATGACTGATGTAAAAATAACCAATGAGTTACAGAAACATTTAACAAAAGCTGAGTGTTTCCATCAGCATGAAAATATCAGAGTTTTAGATGCCAGCCGATAAAATGCGATATTAGTTTTTTAGGTAATATCCGACCGTAACCGATTTTAATATCGGATGGAGACATCATTAATTCTGACTCATTTTAAACCCATACTATTACACACTAGCTGCCGTACCATTTCTACCTGTTCTTTGTTTGACATTATTTAGAAAGAAGACAAGAAACCATAAAAAGAAAGGATCTTGTATACTGGTTATAATGGAATTCAATCATCTTCTAAACTCTACAGAAACATTTTCCCAGCCACAGCCAGCAGGGCAAATTCAACATGGAGGATTTTAATGTGAGCTGCCGTGTATACTAATGAGCCGTTGTGGGTTTTGGCAGAGTAATATCCCTGACAGTCTACAAAGCTTCCTCTGCTGCTTGGCTCTGACAGCTTAGCCCCAGGCTGGCCGGTAGATACTTCTAGAGGCTTAAGGGATATCTTCTCAGTCCTTTCTCAAACTTTCCATTTGGGTTCCACCCCGGAAATCATTTGCTGCTTGCAAAACCCAGCGGCCCATCTCACTGAGAGGATATGTTCCACATGTCACAGATTGGCATTTCATCACAGTTCAGTGTAAGGTGCTACTCTTGTTTTGGTCTGAACCTCCTGGATTAGCCTCTATGAGCAGGAGCATTATCTAACGCCTCCTGTGGTTGGAAATGAACTGATGAGTGCTCGGTTTTCCTCTGCTATTTCCTTCTCTCTGGTGGTCAATCCTACAGCTGACTGCAGTCAAGCTGAGAGGTACAACCTTTATCTCCCATCAGCACTGCTGCAGCCTGCTGAACTCGGAGGGAAACTGAAACTGATCCAGGTAGATTACGCCCAAACTGACTTTAACCTTCCATGTTTTATAGTCTACTGCAGTAAAGGAAATATTAAGGGTGAGGTCCAATTCAAGCTTACGATAACATGACAGAGAGCATGTTTCCATCTTTAAGTGATAAATAAAGCATCAAACTATATCTGATTAATCTAAACTCATAACTACAATGCACGCTTTGGCAGTACTATGATGTATTGTGCAGTTAAGCAATCAGATTTTGACTACAACCAAAACTAAATCCTCCTAAAAAATGAATAGATTCATCCATCCATCCATCCATCCATCCATCCATCCATCCATCCATCCATCCATCCATCCATCCATCCATCCATCCATCCATCCATCCATCAAAACATGTTTGCCTGTAACTCCTTTATCTGTTCCTGAAACTGCAGAGGATGCACACATTCATTTAGTGTCAAGTTTCTGCAGTACTTCCAGCTACTCCCGAGGGTACAGTCTGCAGAAAACATTAATTGTAGACCTCACAGGTCTTAAAAAAAAAAAAAAAGAAAAGATCTATGCAAACAGGTAAACCCTTGTGCCATCAGAAACTGAGCTTGAGTTAATCTGAATATGTTTTCATGTAATTTGAAATTAAATGCATTGGCTTGAAAAATAAACTTCATTAAATTGAAACCGAATTTAATAGTTTCAAATTGAATAAATTTGCTTTGAAAATTGTGTTTCTTTGGGTCAGACACCAGGGTCCCTTATCCATTGCTGACTTATATTCACATTTGGTTAAACCTAGTTCGTTGCATTCTGAGCGTCGATGAGCTTTGCTCAAGTCATTAACGTGAAATTAATGTGTATAAAAACCGCTATGTAAAAAAAAAAAAGGGTGAGGCTGATGGTAACAATGAGGCTAGCTGAAGCTATTAGCTGAAGAGGACAAATGAACAGTGTTTTAATTTGGCAAACTGAACATGTAATGTAGGAGCTTAAATACTGCAGAGCCATTATTAAACTAATGACACCTGCAGCCTAGATTTAAAACAAGTACAAATTATACATTAGCGCCACACATTGCAATATCAACGTATGAAATATAAATGCTTCTGTTGAAATGTAAGATAAGTCGACTGTTCTCGTTTTCAGTAGCGCCATGGAAAATGTTTTTTTTTTTTCATACTAGCCTCCAAACTATCACAGCTTTAGAGCACAGGCAATTATATGCTGAGTATCATAGAGTGCTGCCCAAATAAAATTGGGTTTTACTTTGGGCTGGAAGTCATCATGAAACATTAAAAAACAATGTCTGCAGTCCAGGTACTTCTTAATATTTATACTGAATACAGTGATAACATAATGACTAAGATGAATTTTAGCACCATGACTCCAATTTAATGACAAACAGGACAAATACCTGAAAGGAGCAAAATAATGACGGCTACCCCGTCTGCCTCTAGTTTTGAATTGTACAACAGCCAATATCTCATAAGCTACTCACCTAGACTGGTCTGGGAATTGGGGTTGACATACTGGTCTTTGCTCCACTCCACCATACATTTTAGGATGGAAACCAGACATTCAAGGCCTTTCTTTCTCAGAGTCAGCTCCTGCAGAAAAATATGGAAAACCTTAGGAAATGATCAGGAAAACCTTTCATGCAACAGAAAGCTTGATGGGATGATTTAGGAATTAATTCAGTAAATGGTTTAACTGGTGTAAATAACTTTTTGCATTTCTTTTATAAACGTACTTAGTTGGTCTTGAAGGTTGCAGCTAATATGTCTTAAGAATTAAATGTGTAGAACATTTGTGGTTTAAGTCAAACTGTTTCTTTGAGAATAGACTGCTTGGAGGTTCAATCTTTAGCAGGGAGGAAGTCTAGACCGAGTCTTCTGAGACCAAGACTGAAGCCAGATGTTTAGAACACAATAACAACGACGTAGTTACTCTTAAATGGTGGGATGCAGTGGTGCTATGATCACTGAGGTTTTTAATTCCCATGCAGTGCCATTTGCGTCTACAGATGACAATCATAGGGTGTGAGGTTTTATATAGGGATGCACGATATTGGGATTTTGGCCGATATCCGATATGCCGATATTTTAAAACTTATGTAGCCGATAACCGATACTGATGTTAAAACTGGACAAAAATAAGTAGTCATTGAAAATAGCAGTTTTATTATCCATTTCTGACACTTTGAAAAATAATATACTCAAATATATTTTCATATGCTGATATCAAATTGATTTTTAAAAACGCGGCATCGATCTATTTTACTTTCAAAATCTCGTGAAATTTCATCGTTCTGTTACAAACTCTCGTGATATTTTGCAAATTCTTGTGAGATTTTGTTAGCAAAATTTCGTGAATTTTTGGGGGATTTTGTAGAATAACGATGACATATAGCAATATTTCATTAGTAAAAGAGATCGATATGGTGTTTTTAAATGACAATATATCAGCATATGAAGATATTGTGATATATTTTAATGTATCAATATTTCTGCAGGAGTCAGCTCCTGCAGAAAAATATGGAAAACTTTAGGAAATGATCAGGAAAACCTTTCATGGAACAGAATTTGCAATATTTTTTCCCTCATCTTTAGAAGTTTTTAAGCCTGTAAAAAAGAAGTTTTTGAGGAAGAAAAAGAAGTACCGTATTTTCACGACTATAAGGCACACTTAAACGTCTTTTTTTCCCTAAAAATGTGCGGTGCGCCCTTTGGTGCGGTGCGCCCTATGTGTGTTGTAACTGCGACTTTTGAGACCACCTCATTGAGGAGATGATGAAAGAGTGGCTGAATGTAAGGAGACCAGGTGTTTTTTTTCCACTCATCACCATCGCTGTTAATATGTGACTCCATGCGTGCCCATCTCACAGCTGATGTGAAAAACATGGGGAAACAAATTAACCCTGTACTCGCTGTTCAACCGCTCGACATCGGTGTGAACCGGTCCCAGCAGGTGCAGCAGAAGCAGCGAGTTTACGTGCAAAGTCAATGGTTGACGCGCGTATAGGCGCAGCAAAAGGTCCTGCAGCGCGTTTTGAGCAGCAGGTGCAGCACGTCGGGAAGCGTTTAAGAATCTGACGCACCGCCAACGCGATGCTGCTGCTCGAGATGGAAAAATTTAAGTTTTGCTGCTGGACGCGCCGCATTAACCAATCAGAGAAGCTGATCTGGGAGCTGACAGCGAGACAGACACAGCGCTCTGATGACATATGATATTAACGCAAATGAAAAGGGCTGGATGGATGAGGAGATGATGAAAGTGTGGCTGAGGCAGGTGTATGTGAGGAGAACAGGTGGTTTTTTTCCACGCATCACCATCGCAGTTAATCTGTGACTCCATGCGTGCCCATCTCACAGCTGATGAGAAAAACATGGTGAATCAAATGAACGCTGTGCTCGCCGTTATCCCGGGGGTCTGACAAAGGAACTTCAACCGCTCGACATCGGTGTGAAGCGGCCGTTCAAAGTAAGGCTGCGAGCGGCGTGGGAGCGATGGATGACAGACGGAGACCACAGTTTCAGGATAAGTGGAAGGCAGCGCCGGGCAAGTTACGCCACCGTTAGCGGATGGATTGTAGATGCTTGGACTAACGTGTCTGCTGGCTCTGTTGTTCAAGCTTTCGCAAAAGCAGGCATTATTTCTGAAGAGCCGCGCTGCACGGAAAGTGACTCTGACAGCGAAGAAGGGGAAATTGGCATGTCTGATTTAGCGCAGCTGTTTAATTCAGAAACAGAGGATGATGACTTTGATGGGTTTGATTACTACTCTGTAACAAATACATGAATAAAGCACAATCATACTCAGTTTTGCTCCCACTCTATTTTTCTACCTGAACACTTAATTCAACAGCAGCCTCTGGGCGGGTCTCCTCCTCTTCACCGCGGCGGCTGGCAGGTGTTTTTTCATCTAAATAATCTTAATCTTGCAGCTATATTTGCTGTGATCAGTGGGAATAAAGTAGTTTTAATATGTTTTTAAGTGAGAAAGTCCACCTGAAAACTTAATAATTGCAGTCAGTTCATCCAGATTATCTATTTCTGTCGGAGCCGCTCAGACCCCCACATACCAGCGGTGCACCGACAGCAGAAATCCCTTCATCAGCAGCCTCTAGGCTGGGCAGCCTCCAGGTTCACCGCGGCTGCTGGCAGGTGTTTTTCATCTAAATAATTTCAGCTGCAGGCACCAGGATACCGGTAATAAAAGCGAACAAATTCCGTCGGCAGGTTTCAGGATTTTAAGTTAATTTAGGAGTGATCACAGCGCACTGTCATCTGCGATGTGTCCGTCTCACGGCCAGCACCCAGGTTTGATTAATACTTTGTAATAAATACATGAATAAAGCACAGTCATACTCAGTTTTGCCCCCGCTGTATTTTTAAATACGCAGTAGAGGTATTTAAAGGTAGTAGAGGACATGTACCTGTATATAAAAAACGCGCCCTATAGTCCGGTGCGCCTTATGTGTGTGTTAAATACAGAAATGGGACACATAACTGAGACTGCGCCTTTTAGTACGGTGCGCCTTATGGTCGTGAAAATACGGTAGTATTTTTTTTTTTTTAGACTTTAGAAACTCAGAAGCTGATCAAATATCGGGTTAAATATCGGTGGGGTGGCTGATGTCCGATATTCAGTTTTAAGGCCGATACCGATATGGGGCCGATTATATCGTGCATCCCTAGTTTTATATCATTATCTTTGCTTTTTAATTTTTTTTATGATATTATAAATTCATGAATCAGCCTTGATATAATTTGTTGAGGCCTGACAAAACAAGCCCAAAACAGAAGCATAAAAATCATGGAGCATGATCCCTGCTACTCAGTCCGTTTCACAGGCTAAGTTTGATGGAGAGTCAATGTCTCTGACTTCCATTTCTAGTCAAAATATCTGCAGTGATTTTTTAATTTGTATAGGTCTATTTCCATGTTTGCTCCTTTCTAAGTAGTCAGCCTCACTCTCCGACACCAACTAAACTGGATTTACAATAAAAAAAGGAAAACTGGGTAATACAGATAAGATATTAATCAATTTTCATACTACTTTACAGATCCTAAACTATACCTTCAAAGCAAACAAATGAATCAGTAATGAAAAAGACGAGATAAAATAAAAAGTCACCTGTTGCGGCGTTGTGCCAAGCTCATGCCCTCCGCGGCCCTGAGCTATTTTTGAGAGGTCGTTGACCAAACGTTCAAATATGTTAGCAGCGTTCAAGTCACAGTCGTAGTTCACGTAGATGTCAACCACACTCTGGGCATCTGAACAGGAAGAGTCAAGAGTTTTGTTACCCTTCTTTCTAAAAACTAGAGGAAACCACGTAAATAACTAAGAATAAGGTGATATGTTACCCATAACCCCCGATTGCTCCCCAAGGGGATGGGTTAAAAGCGAAGAATACATTTCCCCGTTGTGGGACAATAAAGGGATTTACTTTTCATAGCTGAACAAAGGGCTAAAAAGGTTTTAATATGTTGCACACTTTTTTTTTAGATGTTAGCACACTGTTCTGTATTTTTTTTACCAATACCTGTCAAATAAAGAAAAAACAAGCAATAAATGATGCAAACAGCAGTTACAGTCATAATAATATACAGCTAATAATACTCTAAACATTAGGGATCAACATATATATTGTCAACAAAAGAATTATTTTTTTCAGTGACAAATTTGCTTAATTAACTATTTAATTTGAAAAGCTAAAATTAAAAACTATCATACAAGGTCTGTATTATATCTTATTGCACTGTCACCAATGATGTGGCCATAGAAAAACAAGGAAAAGTAAATAGAAGAGCAAACCTGCACATATTCTGGTGAGGGTTTGTATGACCATCCATTTGTGGTCATAAGAGCTTGTGGACGTCTCGAGGATGTAGAGGAAAATCTCTTTGAAGAACACCTGCAGAGAAACAGGTCATGTTGCATTTTCAAAGGCAGTCATACAAAAAGGAGCTATAGCAACGCCACATTTAAAAACAAGGAGAGCAACAGCTGAATTGGACGGCATGTAAGGGCTGTTATAGTCACTTATAGACACTGAAAAATAAAAAAAAACAATGGGAAAAAATTTGTTTTCCCATAGATTAATTTCACATATTTAAGAGAAAGAACTTGGATGTTCTGTAAGGATGAAAATTCTTCAATTTGCAAAAAAAAAAAAAAAAAAAAAAATATATATATATACACTATATTGCCAAAAGTATTTGCTCACCCATCCAAATTATTGGAATCAGGTGTTCCAATCACTTCCATGGCCACAGGTGTATAAATTCAAGCACCTAGGCATGCAGACTGTTTTTACAAACATTTGTGAAAGAATGGGTCGCTCTCAGGAGCTCAGTGAATTCCAGCGTGGAACTGTGATAGGATGCCACCTGTGCAACAAATCCAGTCGTGAAATTTCCTCGCTCCTAAATATTCCACAGTCAACTGTCAGCTGTATTATAAGAAAATGGAAGTGTTTGGGAACGACAGCAACTCAGCCACGAAGTGGTAGGCCACGTAAACTGACGGAGCGGGGTCAGCGGATGCTGACGCGCATAGTGCGAAGAGGTCGCCAACTTTCTGCAGAGTCAATCACTACAGACCTCCAAACTTCATGTGGCCTTCAGATTAGCTCAAGAACAGTGCGCAGAGAGCTTCATGGAATGGGTTTCCATGGTCGAGCAGCTGCATCCAAGCCATACATCACCAAGTGCAATGCAAAGCGTCGGATGCGGTGGTGTAAAGCACGCCGCCACTGGACTCTAGAGCAGTGGAGACGCGTTCTCTGGAGTGACGAATCGCGCTTCTCCATCTGGCAATCTGATGGACGGGTCTGGGTTTGGCGGTTGCCAGGAGAACGGTACTTGTCTGACTGCATTGTGCCAAGTGTAAAGTTTGGTGGAGGGGGGATTATGGTGTGAGGTTGTTTTTCAGGAGCTGGGCTTGGCCCCTTAGTTCCAGTGAAAGGAACTCTGAATGCTTCAGCATACCAAGACATTTTGGACAATTCCATGCTCCCAACTTTGTGGGAACAGTTTGGAGCTGGCCCCTTCCTCTTCCAACATGACTGTGCACCAGTGCACAAAGCAAGGTCCATAAAGACATGGATGACAGAGTCTGGTGTGGATGAACTTGACTGGCCTGCACAGAGTCCTGACCTCAACCCGATAGAACACCTTTGGGATGAATTAGAGCGGAGACTGAGAGCCAGGCCTTCTCGTCCAACATCAGTGTGCGACCTCACAAATGCGCTTCTGGAAGAATGGTCAAAAATTCCCATAAACACACTCCTAAACCTTGTGGACAGCCTTCCCAGAAGAGTTGAAGCTGTTCTAGCTGCAAAGGGTGGACCGACGTCATATTGAACCCTATGGATTAGGAACGGGATGTCACTTAAGCTCATATGTGAGTCAAGGCAGGTGAGCAAATACTTTTGGCAATATAGTGTATATATATATATATATATATATATATATATATATATATATATATATATATATATATATATATATATATATATATATATATATATATATATATATATATATATTTTAGCATATCCTCTTAATATAGTAAAGGTAGAGATAAAAATAAAACAACTTCAAATATAAAATAATTAGGAACAAAATCTAAATATCATTGAGATTCTTAAGTCAGACATTTATGAAAATAATAAATAAATAAAAAAAAAAAAATGGCAGAGTAAAGTAAGATGCGCATCTGGATATTTTCCCAAGTGTGAATGATAGATCTGGGCTCCGTTCCTGTAGCAGAACAGGAACGGGGGTGCAAACTTTCCAAGAACACCTCAAACGTGATCCAGAATACACGCCTAAAACACCAAGGGAACGGCTCCAACATGGCTGCATCGATTTTCATTGCCTTCATCTACAATGACCCCAAACACAAAGCGCTCAAGGCTAAGGTTGCAATAAGGGGAGTTGATTGGCCAAGATTGAAAAATAACAGCCTCACCAAGGACTGCTGTGCAAAATGCCTTTTAAAACATTGCCAATATAAACTGGATTCTTAAAAATGTATCTTTCTATTACTCACCATCTTTCAAGCTTTCCAGCAACTGACAATTAAGGCAAATAATTAAGGCTTTTATTTCTTTAGACACTGACATGCTTTTAAAGAAATGAACAGAATTTTTAAAGCAATAATATTAACAAAACCTTTTAATCTTAGTATATCAAGAGCATTGCACCACTTTTTGGAAAGGTTTCTGTGGCGTCTAAATAGGCTATAAATTGCCTGAAATTTAATAAAACCACATTTTGGCCTTAACACCTCCTTTTTTCATTTAGGTAATACTTCCTTTTTTACTCTTTTTGTTTATAAGGCCTTTAAAATTTGTTTGCTTTCAAAGTTATTAAACTGCATAAAGTTTAGCTTAACATTCCTAGTTTAGGGAATTTAAAACGCCCTCTAACAGAGGGGGTGTGAATTTGTTTGATAAATGACTCCATGGTGAAAGGATGGTTGGATTTAGAGGTTTAACCGAAGTACTTATTCAACAATCCCATTACATAAAAAACTTTTTATTCTAACACAGAACTGATGACCTGGCAATTTAAGTGGGAATATAGGAAAAAATGTTTTCTAAATAAACCGGTGCAAAGATGTTACCTCGATTTGCATCTTGAGATGGGTCTTAAAGTGGGAGAGCAGAGTAAGGAAGATGGAGAGGGAGAGCTCAAAGACTTCAGGCACAGAGGACACGCCGTTCTTAGACAGCGCCACGCACAAATACTGCTTAATGGCATTTATGAACATCTCATTGGTCTTGAAGATGGGCCCGGCGTTCTGCAGGATGGACAGCAGCAGCTGGAGAGACAACACCTTCGATCGCAGCTCATGGGACCTGGATCAGTCAGAGAAAGAGCTAGGTAAGGAATAATTCTTATTTGACAATGAAAGCCATTCAAATTTTTTGTTTCGTAGTTTTATTTCACACATCTACACAAAATATCCTCTCATCCTTCATGTAGCAATAGCTGAAGTACCGTCAGCCTGGATGGGGGATACATGTGAACACCAAATCCAATGAAAAAAGGTTTTATCAGTATCTGGATGTTGAGTGGACCATCTTAACTTTGACTTGGACAATTTTGGACAACATTCCATTTCTCAAAAAGCTGGTCAAAAGTTTCGTTTTCCACATGTTCGCTGTGACTTCTGCTTTCTTTCACTCTCTTACTCCTCCAGGAAAGCTGGCTTCACGGAGGACGCCACCTATCCATGAATTTTCAAAAAACTGTGGATCTATGCAGAGTTATCCTTTGGTTGCTCCAACGACTGACGCTCTCCTTGGCTTAGTTTTAGAGAACAAGCAGGAGGTTTGAATCTGTCAAATTTACTTTTCATAACCAAATGATTCAACAAAACTCTAATGAGAAGCCCAAAGTTTGGGATTCGTAACTAACACTGCTGTACAGTTAATGAAGTATTTATCATAGACATGTTAGCTGTACTGGTCTTTATAATGAAAAAGAAAATGTCCTTGAAGGGGATTTATAACAAATTACAGAGCGAGCATGCATGAGGAAAAATCCTTAGTTGCCTTCAAAGGAAATGCTCAGAGGCCAAAATCAATGCATGCACAACATCCGTCTGTCTAAACTGTGCTTCTGCAGGGTTAAGGGTGGGGCAAGAAACTACCAAAGTTATAGAAATACAGCAAATCCAGCTTATCTATATGCAGAGTTTAACCACTTCTTTGAGATGTCTCCACTTTTCATCTTTAGGAAGCAGAAAAAATTGGATTTTTGGTGCTAAAACAACAACCTTGACATACTTTTGAAAAAAAGTTTTATGAGAATAAACAAGTTCAATTATATTTTTCTTGACTTCATTTCTATACATTAAAACAGCAAATAGCATTTTATGCAAAATGAATCCCTCTGGTATGGTCAAGAGGAGCAGAATACCTTTTGCAGAGCAGCAATGACTGAAATTTTGCAAAAGACGCTTTCAACAGCATTTAAAACAGTATTTGGCAACAGGAGGCTTTATATGCCATTTGAAAACACAGCTACAACCTTTCACATTTTCTCTGTGTAAGTGCCTTCTGCCCTTGAAAATAAAAACCCATTTGCACAGACAAAGCAGAAAAGCAGAAAAGAAACAGAAAAGTCAATGACAAAGTGAGTGTGAAGTCTCATGAAAAGGTACGCTAGATTCAGAAGCAAGGACAGAAGTTAAGATGTGTCAACTGGGAACGTTAAGCTGCAGACTATTCAGCGTGGGCGCCATGTTGCTCAGGTGGGACAAAACAAATGAACCTTCTTAGAGTAAATGTTTCTGCGTGGTTCAAAAAAAACATTATAGATTAAGATTAAACTGGCAAGCAAAGAGAAACCAAAAAAAGAGGAAAGATGTGGATAAAATTCAAGGTAGTTTCCATATTTGCAGCCATCAGTAAAATCACATTTCCACTAGAAGAAATATCAAATTCACAAATTTTTGCAGTTTGTCGTGCTTTGAAAAAAAGAGGAAGGATTAAAAGAGTCCCTGTGAGGAAGTGACTCACAAAATGATGATTGGTGTCTCATATTAACTCCATAAGCAATGAAATCAAATAAAAAAAAAACTCACTATAATATGAGTGATCCTGAATTGAAACCATGACTCACTGCGCTCAGAACTGCAGCTTATAGAGAACAATGAAATAAAGCATTTTGTTTTTTTTACAGCCTCTGCAAGAAATAAAATCACAAAGACCCCAATAAATTCAGCAGAGTTAAACTCCAACTCTTAGATTTCAAGAAGTTTACAATAATATCTGTCTAAACGTTAAATAAGTCCCTATTAGATGCGGATTAACAACTAATCAGTTAAACCAAGAAAATATGACAATAAAAGCACATCTAATAACAACCTCTTCTAAGCTGCAGAGCTTTACATTTCTCTTCAAAAATACACCAAACAGATAGTAACAAGCATGTTGCCTGAAGAGTCTTTACAAGCATTTTTTTAATACTATACTGAAAAACAAAACTTACTTTGGATCAGGCGGCCCGTCCGACAAAGGCTTCATGGACAGCTTGCAGAGAGAGCGAAAGACGAGGAAAGCATCCTTCTGGAGGATGTGGGAGAACTTAGCACCTGGCGGCTGGCCGGCTGTAGCTCCTGATTCCTAAAGGAAGGTAAAAATAAGCAGTGAGTAAAAAAATCTGTCTTGTTTTAGAGCTTTGATCCCCTAACATGGTGGTTAAAGACCTACGGATCAATGAGATCCCTTTGATCGTGATCACAGACCTGCAAAGGTCATGCAGAGATGAATGGATGATTTCCATAAAACATGCTCCGTTACTGACCAGCGCAAAGTGATGCTTAAACACAATGCAGTAGAAAAATGTTTTTATTCAATTTATTTTAAAAAATAATAGAAAAGATAATTTACATTCAGTCCTCCTGAGTTTTTACTTTGTGGAAAAGCAAAACCTTTACCAGCTTTTTAAAGTCTTGTGTATTATTCTTTGCTAAGTTAGTCAAGTTAACTCAGACTGAATGGTTAACTGTTTTATTCATTAATAGTCATAATCTTAAATGTGTAATGTGGAGGAAATTAGTCATTGACTAAGTGTTACAATAAAAAAGAACCATCACCATAAAAATTGTGAAAATATGCCTTCTTTATCTATTAGTCTGATAGAGGTAGGAACAAATAAATATTTGAATCTTTTACATTTACAAGTTAAGAGACTTTACAGTTTGCCAGATGGTAACAAATCATATAGTGAGTAGAGACTAGGAGATGAGTCAGACTGCTGGGAAAACTTTGCACCTTCTGATCTTTAATATAAATTGTTAGGAACTTACTGGTAGTAGACGGCTGTCAGGTGTTTAATTGTCAAAAAGTTCAAAGTAATATTAATCGTTCAGTGAGAATCTGTGTAGGTTTGGTACAGATACAACTTTCTTCCAGTGAGTAAATCCTCAATTGTTCTTCTGAACTGATCTCAAAGTGCTTTAAATTTGACCGAACTTTTACAAAAGGTTTTAATTATTTATCAATTCCCTCCAAGAGACGATATTGAGCGTTTAAAACTTTAAGGAGTCATATAGAAACATCTAAAAGCAAAGAATAAAATAAGTGTTTCCCTCCTTATTTGCATCATGTTTAGCTGTTAAATCAACGTTCGCCAGTTATTCATCATTTACAAAAAAGTTCTTAACTTCTGACATTTCATATTACGGGGAAATATATTTTTTATATAAAACGCGCTTTGCAGGATTTAATTGTAACCCTGCAAAGCGTAAGTGGTGGTTATATAGTGGTTATATACTGATTAAATATGTTTTCCTTGATTTAATGCTTTATTCACACATTGTTTTAACTGTTAAATTTAAATTAGGGGCCAGTTAAAGAGGCAGATGTCACATAAAATCCCAGTTAATGAGAGCAGGGTAACAAAAAGTTAATTTGCAGTTCAAATGTTTTTTTTTTATTCTTCAGAAAGGTAGCAGGAGGGCGACTCAAAGAGAGCAGGTATTTATTTATTCATTAACTGGATGTATCACATTCCTCTCAGCGGCTATCAGATAAATCAACGTGACTAAAGCGACGCACCTGTTTGGAAACAAAGTCCAGAGTCCAGGTGATTCGAATGTGAATTAATTAACTCAGTGCGAACCTTGCCTCTACAACAGCTGCTGGAAAACCACCTGAGGGGATTTTAGACGCATTTTAGTGCTGCCAGATTGAGGGCAGAGTTTTCAGGAAGTTTAATTAAAGCCCATTATGGTTTACAAGTAAAACTGATGTAAATTACACAAGTGCTACTACATCCTAGCTGGAATTTATCCTACTGAATAACTAAAGAGGGTAAAAATGTCTCTATCCAGTTTATTTAGGGTTTTCTAGCTTTTGTCTGTAACGTCAGACAAAAGCTCCACATCTTCAAACAGCGCAGTTATATTTTTAAGAAATGCTTTTAGGTAGATACCTACATATTTAAGACAGATTTGGCAATATATACACCTTAATGAAAAAAAAAAAAAAGAATATATTCAATAGCTGACCGGAATCTTAACTTTTCTAAAAGAAGTTAAGGTTTGGGAAGATATTATTTTAAAATAAAAATCTAAATAACTACTTCAATGGATTTAGTAACATAAAGGATAGTTGTTCATCCTGATACATGGACTGTGAAATTTTGTCAATGCAAATGGGTTATAGGAATAAGCAATGACTAAGGCTACGTTCACACTGCAGCCTGAAGTGACCCAAATCCAATTATTTTGCCCATATGCGACCTGGATCTGATCTTTTCATGACAGTCTAAACAACACAGATCCGATTTTTTCCAATCCGACCAAGGCCACTTGGCTATGAGGTCCAGAATCCGATACAAATCTGATCTTTTCAAATGCGACCTGTGTCTGAACGGCCAGGTCAGATTTAGCCGACCTGAACGTCATTAATACCTGACAAAGGTCACTATTATGCCTCTTGCTACGTGGAAGCGGCAAGAAACACAACATCCATGGCAGATGATGATGTGGAGAGCAGTATTTATGTTTAACCATATTGCAAAGATTGTGTTTTTGTGGTTGGAAAAGACCGCTAGATGCGCGCCGGCGCTACCATCCATGTTTACTTCCGGAAAAACGTCATTGCATCCTCTACTGTGCATGCGGGACACTTGCGTTGTATGACTGCAGTTCACACAGGAGATCACATACAAGTCGCATTTATTTGGAAATATGAACGGCAAGGCAAACAAATCGGATTTCGCAAAAAAATCGGAATTCTGCATCAAGGCCTGCAGTGTGAGCGTAGCCTAAATGTCCACATTTCACAATGAGCTACAGAGGTTTAAACATGTTTTGAGTCTTTTGAATATAAGACCTGAAGGCTTTGGGGGAACGGAGCATGTCTTTGCTTAATCCGCTCATTACTTCCTCACCTGAGTGTCGGTGGAGGAGACGGAAAGTCTGTCATCAGACAACGAGGGCGTAAAGCTGGCGGAAATAGGCGTGCCGGGAATGCCGTTTGCATGGACGTGCTCGCTGTCGCTCCCCACTGTACCCTCGTCCTCCATGGAGCTCTGGGTGCCCTCAGTCGCCGCCTCGGCTGGTAGCGAACCCGCCGGCTCGCCCTCGCCAGCCGACTCCTTGGTATCGGAGCAGAGGTTTGCCGGGTCAAGGCAGTGACCTGCAGTCAGAGAAGATGTATCTTCTTTTAATGTTTTAGGAGACTGGAGCATAAAGCAATCAGGGTAAAACATCGAACCACCATTAAATGATTGAGGTCATCTCCGAAAATAGTGATGTTTTTCTTAATTTTCCCCCAAACATTTTCACATGATCGTATGTTTACACCGTGATGTGAAAGTATAGTCCTGAAGTAGAGCATCTTTAGAGCTCTGACATCATGGAGGAAGAACTCTTTGATTGGCTATCTTCAGTCTCCGTTAAGATGGCAACCCTGAAATGATTCCCTATTTCAGGAACTGTTAATCACAGATCTTGAGTCAGTGAATGTCTCAGGGATTGTTCCTTCCTGCTGGGGGGTCAGTCCAGGGGAGATGTGCAAACTCCGCCATTGAATTCATATTTATTTGCCCATTAAAGCATCCTTTATGTTGACGTCTTAAGTTAAAACAGTTGCTTGAATAATTTTAGGACAGCCTTTGTAGAAAAAACAAGAGTTCCCTTTGACTTTAGCTCCCAGTTTACAAGTAGAGTCTAGTTTACAATAACAATAATTGTCTTTAGAGAGTATTGTCAATACTTCAAACTGCAGCTTATTCAAACTATATTATGATGGATGCATAAATCACTAACATTTGAACATACTTCAGTATACCTGTGCATACTCTGAGCTGCGTGGGATCTCTCATCATGGTTGAGCTTACCCATTCCTCATGTTCCCACCCTGCCATGGCGTCATAGCACGGGTTTGCCTTCTAGCTTTACAAAAACATAAGAAATTAAGTCTAGTTGTGCGCCTTTCTTCATTTCGTCTCCCACAACACACCTGTCAGTCAGGTAGAGAGAGTAACTGAGATGCTGCGGGTCCTTGTGACTGACTGCTCTGAACAGTGATGCTGCCAGTTATTGCCTGGAGATCCTTGTCAACTCAGTGTCACATTTGAAACAGTTTGGTATGAATGCTTGTTCCTGACAAGAAGTACTTTTCCACAGAGGGGTATAGTAAGGCATTGCTTACACGGTAAGTAAAATCTAACTTTGTACGCAGCTGTCAGTGCGGTGTGGACTGAGAAGTATGTGAGGACTTTTAGCCTCTAATCAGAATACTGACATTTTTGGAATAATTGAAGCAAACATGCAATATTGAGAAGGCTGCAATGAGCACAGAGCAGGCAGGGAGCTGAGAGAGAAAGAAAAAAAAAGGTTTTACCTCCAGCCACAGTGTTGACCACCTCCTGCAGAATACTTTGAACTATTTCCTGCGCTTTCTCCTCATAGTTCGGGGGCCCCTCATCCTCCTCTTCACCTGCTCCTTCATGCTGTTTGGATGCCACATCTGAGGACACACAGAAACACATTAACATTATCATTCAGAGATACTTCTGCTTCCAAACTAAATAAAAAGGGAAGTTTACAACAGCAATGTGTAACTTTTAGTCTCTTATAGGGCGCTAAATCTGTAACTTCTATCTTTAGGTCCCCTGAAAGCAAGAAGCGACACTGAACCGTGTTCAGGAATCTGATAACGCATCACATTCATCCCTCAAGATTGAATCCTACATCAGAGAACCAAAAATATGTCTGATCAGTAAAGTGTCACAGAAACGACTTTTAGCTTAGTTAGCTCTCGTGTTTAAAGGGAGCTCAGACTGCCGTAAAGCAGCGTTCTGGGTCACATGATTTTGAACGGATCCAACCCTTCAGAGTTACATAGGGGTATCGATGCCGGCATTGAGCAATGATACGCACCCAGTGCTGTATACTGCCCTGAAAAATCATTAAATTTATCTCTAATTAAGCTGATAACTGGGTCAAAAGTTACAAAAGTTATCTTTATTTGTAGACATGTAGACATGTTGAGCTGGTTCGTTATGTGCAACATTTTTTAAAACCTCATTATGTCATCAAGGAGTGGCAGTGACTCCTTTCTATGAGTTTACGTTTTTTTTAAACAGCCTGTTGATCATGGAGACATTTATGGGCCAAATCATTAAATGTCAATAGACGCTCATATTTAGAATCTTCGCCATTGGGAGCCATTGCTCATCCACCGTTTTTTACCACACAGAGATGTCCGTGAAGTTTCCATAGGTTTGCAGAGAATAGGTACTAAAAAGGATTTATAATGAAGCATAAAGCTTCAGGTTATGGCATAATAACAAATGTTTACATTTACATTTAACATCCTATGTCAAATAAAGGTCATAAAGTGCAACAAGAATTAATCTAAATGTCTGATTCATTTGAAGGTTTTCTTTTCTGTGCAGTTACACAAAATTACAATAAAAGCAAAAATGCTTAGGTGGAATAATGTACCTTGGACTCATTTATTGCACAGAATAAAAGCAAATCTAATTTACTTCAAGATGCAACAGACATAAAAGTCAGATTTTATATTTGTATATGGCCCTTATGCATCTTTTTATTTGAAATACCAGTAAAATGCCTTACTTTGAACCGCTGCGGTGGCCTGATCTGCCTCAGTCTGCTCGTTCTCAGCTGCACAGAACTCAGAGCCGTTTTCAGGATCCGGGTTCTCGTCGGGGGCCGGTTGCCCACCCTGCTCCTCCCGATCCCTTGACACAGACCTGCTGCTGGACTCCGGGGCCGGCGTTGATGGGGTTGAGGGGGTGGAGGGTGAGGCGATGTTGGGAGTCGCTGGACTCATGGGGCCGTTAGCCTCCTGGGTTGGAGCCTTACTGGGTGGGTGAACGTGACCCTGGAGCTGGGGTGATTCTGGTTCAGTGTGCTGGGTGGCTGGGGAGTGCTGCCGGTGCCGCTCCCTCTCCAGCTGTTTGGCTTCCTGCAGCTGATAGAGGGATAGGAGACAGATGCAAAAAAAAAAAAAGAAAGAGACACAGATGGAAGAGAAAATTCATCATTAGAAAGCAGCATGGATCAGAAACATTGCCAGAAAAACTGTTAGCATCAACCTGTCTGCATTTCCTGTGAGGACCGAGCTCCCCAACATATACTTATGGTGTCAGCAAACATCTGAAAGTGTCCATGTGGGGATGCAAAAAAAGTATGCTGAGGAAAAAAAAGTGGCATGCTACTCAAACAGCAATGAGACAAACAAAGTGAATCACTTCATGCTGCTGGTTTGCTTTAGGTCTAAGTTTGCTGCAGGCTTAAAGCTTCTCTGTTGGAAAATGACAAACATAAATAGCAACCTCGTAGATGACTAACTTGATGGCTGCTTCTTAAAGAGAAAACTGTCTGTTAGACAGGTTGACATTTTTAGAAAGAAATATTTTACATTTACTGCAACAAATCGTTTCTCCTAGCTGGAAAATTATAATTGATTTGGGGAGTGAGAGTCCTGATGAGGGAATTTAAAAAAACTTTAGGGATAACATCAAGTCATGATCATAGTACTTACTATTATCAGGCTTTTAAGTATTAACTTTTATCATTAGAGCCCCTTAAACACAGACTGCTCCATAAATAAAACCCTCCAAATTATAAAATAAAAGGAGTACAGTACAATAGGTTGCCATAAAATCAATAATAATTTATAATGTGATTCCTCAGTTGCTATAAATGATTCGCAGCTTCAACATCACTAGTTTGGACAAGAGTTTTATACAGACCTGTGGAGGGAGCTAAACATTAGGGTGATGGTAAGGAGTCCTTCCAAGCTCAAAGACTTGGAGCTCATCACCAAATATAAGTCCTCAAAATCCCAGAAGGGGAAAAAAACCCCCAGAAAATTTGGTCAAGAATTGCTGGAACGTTAAATAGATTTTCCACTGATTATCGGCAAGACATTTTTAAGTGAAGTTAAATAAACACAGATCATTCATTGTTGTAAACTGAGTCATTTTAAATGTTTTATCTTTCACTAAGTTTTTTTTTTCTTTAAATGGCAGTCATATAATCTCTTCTTGGGGAATATAAAATGTGTATTTGACTGTTAGATACACGAAAAACACAACTTTCAATAAATTAAAAAGAACACCAACAAGCAGTGCAAAGTTCCTCTGCCAAGTTAAGGGGCCAACTTTGCAAGTGAATTTGCATATTTGCATAAAAAAAATAGAAAGAAAAAATAAATAAATCACAGGTCAACTGAGTCATGAAGTTAGAAGGGAGTTTTGATCAAGTGAATAAAGGGACATGTTTGCATGTTCACAGTGATACAGTATGGAGGTTTTAAGGCTCCAAGGAGACATTTACATACACTGATCATGGGTTTGTCTGTCTACAACTTTCTTTAAACTGTTCAGTTATTGTTGGACTATGAGTAAAAGGTAATTTCTTTGTGTGTGTCTTTTTTTTTTTTTTTAAGTGTGGGGAACTAAAACAGTTCTGGAACGCAATACAGGACTGAGCAGTCAGGGTTGTTGGAACCCTGCTAAATATCACATACATGGTAAGTTTTTTTTTATTTTGGTACCAAAGTCAACAAGATACTTGACATTATATAGAGGATTATCACAGTATCCAACATGGCAAACAAAAGCATCTTTTTCATCTGAAATTAACAGAAACCACCTATGATTGTGTTTGCTTAAGTGGATTTTAAATGAAACTTTAAAGCTGGAACACATACCCTGGAGATGAGCAGGGATGCCTTTCAGAGGATTCTGGAAGCAATATGGACCCTCCATAATTACCACATTCACATCGTTTCATCAAAGGAGACGATGTGACCGTGGACCGTTCTGATATGATCTGATTGTAAATAATATTATTTCTTTGGTTGTTGCTGTCTTTTGGATGTCTTACCTTTTCCTTTTTTGTTTTCTATAGGGTTTTAAAATTATAAAAATAAATCTCTAATTTATGGAATCGATTGTAAGATCATCCGGAAATGTGATAAACTTCCTGGGGGAGTGATGCTGTGTGAATGCTACTCTTGAGACATATGTATATTGTTCTCTCCTAAGTCATGAGATCTTCCTCAAGTGGTTCCTTCTTTCTCTCCCTTTCTCCCCCAATGAGTTCAGATCTTTTTTGCTGCAGGAACAAGTCATGCAGTCTGGCCTTCTCCACCCTACAGTTACAGGGTTTCTATAAACACTTTTGACCAAGTTTGTAAATGAAAACAATCCTAAAAAAAATGACCACTTTGCGTATAAGACTTCATATTGCTCATTTTTGGGCTTTGATGAAACATGATGTCAGGATATCATAATAAAACATTAATGAATTAATTACTGCAAGAAAAAAAAAAGAAAAGGTGCTAGATTATTCTTAAAATACGATCTAATACAGAGTACTACTCTTTTTTACCCCCCTTAAAACAACAGAAAGTCACAAGTTTAAATCTAAAATGCATTTTGAAAAAAACAAAAAACAAAAAAAAAACTTAACTGATTTTTACATTTTATTTCACTTTAATATTTCTATTAAATTCTGACTTTTTTCCCATATTAAAGTGAAATAAAATTTTAGTCAGAAAAGTCAGAATTCTGACTTTTTTCCCATATAAAACTGAAATAAAATTTAAAAATCAGTTTTTTATCCAATATAGGTAAAAGACCTTCACACCCATGATAAATGTATGCAATCTTTTAATTAGGGGTTTACATTATGAAACAAGGAAATAAGAGGAAAAATCTGAAGAAAGGAATAGAGACTGGGAACAAGGATGAATGTTTTCATTTTTGATTTATAACCAAAATCTCAGGAAATCTGCTCACAGGATCAACTTTTAATTGCATTTATTCTTTTTTTAGTATGAACACCACACCCCTATTAGAAGCTCTTCCATTTTATTAAACAAGGCAGTCACTATTGTCGCATAAAATACATGGCTAAATGAATTGAACAACACAGCCTTTCTAGCTAAGCGATTAGCATCGAACAGGAGCAGCGAATGGGGCAGACAAACGTACCGCAGGGGACAGGGGAGGCTGTGCAAACAAACTAAGCTCATTATTGAAATGCCACCTCAGTCGGATAGTGAAAGCTGTGCGAGACCAACACGCCTGTGCGCGTGTGATCACACCATGCTGAGCTACAGCCAGTGAGATGCATCTACACACAAAGTTTATCTCGTGTGCTGCACTACAGAGGTAAAGTCTGCCTTAAATCTCAGCGTATACTACTTTTATGACATATGCTAAATATTAAGAACACAAAACCTCTTCCTGGTGCAATTAAAAACCAATGCGGAAAAGCAAGATGAGCAACAGAGGCCACGGCAAGCAACAGGGTGAAAAAAAAAAAAAAGAGTGTGCAGTATTCGTGTGCAGTGTTGGAGCAAAGAAAGAGAAAGAATGAATCGTGGACGGATGAGGGAGGGAAAAGGGTGGGGTGGGGGGATCTGAATGCGCAAACACAGATGCACAGGAAAGAGTTGAAAAGACTTCTGATCAGGCAATGTCACGGGCAGTCCTGCACGCTTTTTTACCTGGCGGTCACGCTTTCTGGAGGCCAAAGACCAAGATAGCTTGTGATTTGTAAGCTATTTGTCCAAAAAGGGAGGAGGGGGGGGAGGCAGGTGAGGAGGGGAGAAGTGTCATTCAAAAAGAAAAAGATGATATTAGAGTTGAGCTTTTTTTTTGTTGACACGAGAATACAGGTGCATCTTAATAAATTAGAACACCACCAAAAGGTCAATCAATTTCAATAATCAGAATACAACCTTAAAAATTACATAAATATATAGAATCTACAGAGAGATGTGTGCATTTCAAGCATTTTTTTCTGTGTTTATGTTGATGGTTTACAGCAAAGGAAACCCTAAAAACAGAGTAATAAAAAACTAAATGGCAGCAAAGCACTGGAAAGTAGTAGTATTTCTGGTTGGGCCTCCTTTTGCATGAATTATTGCATCAATGAGGCATGTTGTGATGATCATGAGTTCATGGTTCTGCTGAGGTGTTTAGAAAGTCCATGATGAGTTCATAGCTGCCTTTAACTTGTCTATGTTGTTAGTGTCCCATCTTCCTCTTGACAATACCCCAAGGACTCTAAGGATTGTGGGTCAGATGAGTTTGCTTGTGTAAACATGCATTGCGGTTAAATACTTTATAGAGAAAAAAAATCAAGGTGAGATCCATAGCACTGTAATTCTCAGCAAATGAGGGCATAATGTGTTCCTAAAACTCCCTGGAAGACTTCTTTCTCCATTTTGGACTTGGAAAACAGCCCTGATTCTGTGGCTCTCCAGTCCTTTTCCAGATTCTGGGACCTCTATTTCCACATAAAATGTAATTAAGAAGAAGAGTAGTTTGAATCGCTGAGAACATTCCAGAACTTTGTCTCTTTAGTCCAGTTGAGGCGCCTCTGAAACCGTCTGTGGGGTGAATGTCCTCTAAACTCTTGAATAAATTCACTCCATAATTCTTAAGTCTTCAATTTTCATTTTTGCTTGTTCACCTTTCTTTATCACACATTCTGTCACCACTCACTTTTCCCTCAATATGGCACCCTGAACAGTAAGTTTTTAACAATGATCTTGTGACATTTCCTCTTTATTAGGAGTTGCAATATAGACAGCTGGACACTTGTCAAGTGGGCTATCTTCCCTTTAATTGTCTGCACCATAACGAACCAATTAAATACTTTGTCCATTGAATATATGAGTTTTACTATTTGAATTAAATAACAGAAATAAATTGCCTCAGCAATGATGTTCTATTTTACTGAGATACACCTGTATTACAATCCAAACTGCTGCTTTATCTAAATGCTAAAAGAATATTAGAAAACACTGATTGTGTTACCACTATGCAAACTACTTTATTTCATTTTAACATAAAATAGCTTCCATCAGAGGAGATTTCACTGACTGTGGCTTAAGTGATAAGCAGTGCCTTTAAATAAAGATAACTGTAAAGTTTTAAGAGGATTTGGACATACTGCTTGATTCTCCATGCGTGCAAAAATGACGTTGAGCATCTGTGTGAGTGTGGCCTTCGCCGTGGTCTGGTTGATGAGGTTCTTGCTCGCCAGGTAGATGTTGTAACAGGTCCGGACGGCTTGCAGCACGGTACCTTCATGGATTTCTATGTGCTGGGAGGTCACAGCTGTTAGCAGAGCCTACATAGAAGGAGGAGAGAAGGCAGGGTGTTACCTCATCCTCATCTAAAGTCACAATTTATTTTTAATGTTAATTTTTTGTTGATTAGCAGAGTTTAACGGTCCCTGAGACATTAAAGATGATAATACCTGTTCTTTAGAAAATCTGATGCTACTTGTTTTTCTGTACCTGCTTACATGTATGTTCTAAAAGTAGGAAGTCTAAATTACTTATGAAATACTTTCCAGATATCAAAACACAATAATTATAAGGAGCATGTCTACCCGTGTCCAAAGGCCATTTAAAAAAATGACTTGAAAATAAAACATCTCTTATATTCAAAGGAAACCTTAGAGTTTAAATATATCTAATATTTAAAAGATCGATCCTGAAATTAAAGGTATTGCAGTAGATGAAAAATGTAAAACTAAAGCAGCCAACATTTCCTTCAGATCGAGCATAAACAGGACCGCTTTAAGTTCTGCTATGTACCTTAACTAGTATAAACTCAGTTAGCATAAACTGAATGAATAATAATCATCAAAATGAACTGAGATAATTCAGAGAAAAAAAAAAAAAAGGGAAACCTTAATAATCTGTAGCTGCACGCCCTCGTCGGTCTGTGGTCCTTGAAAACAAGCACAGATGGTCTCGATGATCCTGTCAATGAGCTTCTTGCCTGGTGCTGTGCTGTCCGGGGCGCTGCCCGTCAGGTGGCCATATGCTATCAGCTTCTGCAAGTCACATAAAGATGCCGAGATGCAAAAACATTAACAGAACAAGTCGACAAACCTTAGAACATGACCTGGTGACCCTTATTGCTTTAGAATAAAAATGTATTCATATTCCACCTTTTTCTGTATGACTGACAGAAATATTCGGCTCTATATACACACAAGTTGGCAATAGGATTACATACCCTCTTCAATGATTAATGATGCATATCAATAATTCTTCTAATGTTAAGGGATTTGCAACAAATGACTAATTGATTTTAGAAACAAAAATTTGGTGCTCAAGCTTGATTTGATAGCGGGTGCTACAAGAGTTCCCATTACTTTTAAGCTGCACCTACTGATTCAGAAACATTAATATATATGGATATTGCGCATCTAATGCAAAGTAAGTCTCTTTTAGAAAATCAAAGACAAACTACACAAACGTTATAGCATCAAAACCAGGAATTCCCCACAGAGTTGCGCGTTCAGGGTAAACCAAAGCCAGTTCTAATGCGTATCTGGGATCATTATGCTGCTGGTATAAAGTTATGTCAATGCTTTAACCATGCTGTTGATTTTTTAAGTGAATTTAAATCATCTGGATGTTGTTGTTTTTTTGGTTTATCTAACCAGTTTCACCAATAAACAGATGCTCAACATTATGTCACCGCCACCATGCCTGACAGTTCAGCTCAGAAATGACATTCTGTCCACAGTATACTGCTGGCTTTTTGTTCCCTTTGTGGCTTAGCAGGCCAAGTCTGCATCCATCCAGTTGGAAAACCGTGTCATGCCTGTGTGCATGTTGCTGTGGTGATGTCTAAATAAAGGAAAAAACTGAAAAGACTCAATGTAGTCTTGAATTAAAATGCAAACCTTGCTTCCTTCAGTAAAAACCTAATCTGTCCCTCATCTCATGTCCATGAAGGTTGATTCATACATTATGTTAGTCAATCTAGAAAATATTGGTTTAGGAACAAGACAGTCTACTTAGTAATTTATACTTGAACACCCAATCCAAACTATTTTAACAAACTGGTTAAACTTTGACACAACTGTCCATCTTAATGAGACAATGATCCCAAACATTACATCATTATCAGTTCTGGATTAGCAGGCTAATCTCAGCTCTGTCAAAAACTAAAACTGTTTGAAAGTCGCTCCTAGTATCAAAAATGAAAAGCCTTTGAACACCTCAAGTTATCTTGATAACTAATTTTTATGCAAATTCTCACTTTTAAATACATGATTTCATTAGTTTTAACATTTTCTACTTTCACTAAGACCCTTTAGATCTGCTTAAAACTAGAGTCTAGAAATACTCCTCATGGATTCCGCCATTTGCAATTTGCACCATTACTGCTGCATCTAAAGCTAGCGCCTATAAAGAATCTTAGTTCAGCAGAAGAGATCTTTCCTTCAGACAAAAATACCCAAACAGAGATTTTTATCCATCTTGAAGTTCACTGCCTCTTATGTTGGCTTGTACATAAACACCAGGAATGTAGGCTTCAAACATTTTGGAGGATATCCACCCGAGTCCTCCCAACACTGACCTGTAAACAGTCGAGTGAGGTGATGACGATGCGAGGACATTTGGATTGACATGCCAGCTCGAACGGCAAGAAGTACTTGTCTGCCTCGATGAAGTTGGTTTTTGATTTAATCGGCGGTAGCGTGCTGGAGCCAGATTTGGCGTCTCCACTAGGCGGACTGGGGGGAGGAAAAAGACAGGAAAGAAAGACAGTACATAAAAAAAGAAAACACAGATCTGTCAGTTCTGTCTGCCAACTTGAGAAAGGAAGGAGGACTCAAAAATCAGTCTGACACACTCTCACTAATCTTGACATGCATGCATGAAAAATTATGTGCAAGGGATGTTGGGTTTCCCAATAGAGGCAAAATGTTTCTTGTTTAAAGGCTGGAGGGGGGATATGCAGCAGGCTAAACCCATCCGGCTGATATTTCTTTTACTTTTAGTTCCATGTCTGCTTATGATGGCAAAGCACGTCCTGCACAGATGTATTTGTCTCTGTAATTTTAAAAAAGAGCGACAGAGACATAAAAATGTGGACGGCAGGTTCATCAGACACTGCCGCCGCACCCACTGCACAGGCTGGAATACGAAGAAAAACAGAGAAAGGGTGGGAGCAACGGAGGGAGGCTGTGATAGAGGCAGACAGATAAAGCAGGGAGGAGGTTGCTTTGTTTATGCCTTAGCAATGAAAACAGGTGACTTCAGAGGGACGGCCTCACTGAAAGCGGCAGGGTCAGTAAAATATGAACCTGGAAAAAAGAATTAATGATGCGCTGAATAACAAATAGAGGAGAATGATTCTGAGGGGAAAAAAGCAGAAAGGCTGTAAGGTTATCTATTAGGGATATTCTATTCAATGGAACTCTACATTCTTTTTTTATAATTCAAATATTTTAATGTTTCCTGGAACTTCAGAGTAGATAGCATGAGAATAAATGCATCTGCTTTACTTATATTACTAAGAGATGTCAGGATGTCTCTGTACCTGACCTAGATACACTTTAGCATATAGCTGCTAACATCTCCTTAAACAGGCTCACATTCTTTAACAAGCACAATGTATCCCATTTGTTCATGGCTTTTTAACATTGTGGAGTGTTAAAATAATAGTTAATAATATAATAAATTATTACAACATAGTTTGGTTTGTGTCGCTTACTACTGGTCATGACTACACCATCCACCATGGGATGCCAGCTTTACATAAAAAGTGGGAGGTGTACGGTACATTTACTACTCATCTTTAGCGTCTATAACGTTACTGCTTTGATTCCTGAATTGATATACAAGACGTATTGGTTGTTTGTGCACATGTTCGTCTCCTCAGAATCTTACAAAATATAAATAAGAGACTTGCAAGCAGCATCTCTATTAGATGCTTTCTGCGGAAAAATCTCAATAGAAACAGCTGCATTTCTACTGGCCAGTCTGTAGACTTGCGGTTGTTGCAGCTCTTCAATTGGGTAAGATTGTGTCTATTTGTCACCGAATAGTAGGGGTGTAAATCACACCCATCATGGTGATTTCATTCAGTATCAATTTCCTGACCCAATGATTCGATTGTTTTCAATACTCAAGAATCCGCCATGACTGTCTTGCCTACTGTTTAGGCCAGTGTGTGTGTGCAGGTGGAAAGAGGGTAGTGGCTAAAGGAAGCAAGGCAGGAGTGCAAAATAGGTTTAGCACCACCGCAGAACGGGAGAATTATGTCCAGGAGCAAATCGATAAAAATAGACCGGAGAGAAAAAAACAAAACATGAATCGATACTCTTGCTAATATGTCGATGCATCAGATCGTCGGCTGTTGGATCGATGCATCGACACAAAACGGTTATTATTTACACCCCTACCAAATAGTACTTATATATGTAATATTTGGTTGCAAGGTGCCGACAACTGCTGCCCTTAAATCTATCTCAAAGAGTAATGCAAGATTACAAATGTGGAGAAATAAAGACATATCAGTGCGGTTTTCCGGTAGTCTTTGCCATAATCGCTCAATGTATACGGGCCATTGGACATTTACTGCTACTTAATTAATCTAAACATACTGTCTTTAGCCAAAGTTTCCCCCAAATCTAAAGTGTCGGGCTCACTTCATTGGCTGCTGACTGTGGGAAACAATTGATCCACTCTTCTAAATTCACAGGACCTTTTTTTTTTCCTTTGCTTACTCAGCTTGTTTTAAGAGAATAATCCTTTAAGATTAGGACTTTAATAAGTCACAGCAGAAAAAGAGCACGATAAATCTAAATTGTAATTGAAGGGATCTGATAGAAATCCACCCTGTGGGAACGTTTTTACATTTAAATACATGCAACTTCGGACAAGAGGAGAAGCTTAACAGTAAATTGTGATGAAGAACAGGCAATAAGAAAGCTTTTAAAAAGACAAAAAACAAAACACTAAATAATCGAAATAAACAAAAATGTAAGCATAAATAAATGTTATTTCAATATCTATTCTAATGCATTAATTATTAATTGTTTAACAGTTGTGCAAGTAAATGCAGCAATTTCAGTGATGATGGGTTTGCTTGACTAATTTTGGAGCAGAAGTTTATTTTATGGGGATATGGTTTATAGTGTTTGAATATCACTTATAATTCTTAAAATATTTTAAGTCCATGTTGCCCCTTTGCACTCCTAGTATGCATTACCACATCCACTCGTCCAAATTTTCTGGAATAGAGGCTGATGGGGGTGGTGATGGCCTAGTGGTTAGAGCAGTGTGCTTGTGCTCTTAGAAGTTTGCAAGTACCCGGTTTGATCCTCACAGCTTCCACTCTGGGTCCTTGAGCAAAACCCTTAACCCCACACTGCTCCCTTGTCGCCGCACGGCGGCAGCCCACTGCTCCCCAAGGGGATGGGTTCATTTCTCTAATCTGAGGTCGATAAAGTTCAATTTCTATTTCTATGTTTCTACAGAACTACTTTAAGTAACAATTATTTCATTCATTTTTATTCTTTTTTTAGTTAAGCTAATATATTTTTACAGAATTCATTTCAATAAATCCACTCTTTAAGATGCATGAAATATTTTGCACTGACCTTTTCAATTGTCTAATTCTGAGATTTTAGACCAGTACTAAAGAGACTTAAATCACTAATCTTAATGTTGTATCTATGTTAAACGAGCCATCGATCCCGAGCTCCTCACTAAAGAACAAAGTCTATCCTAGAGTGTGATTTAATCCAAGCTCTTCTAATCTGTGGTTTCTCTTATGGTAACCCTACTTCAACTTCTCAGCATTCAGACCAGGGCAGCTGCCGGATGAGATCCTTCTAATGCTGAGAAGTCCCCCAAAAAGAGATCCATAAGACCAGACCAACCTAGGCCTGCTTTTTCCCATAAAAGATCTATAGTTCCATTTAACAGACCTGGTTAAAAATCAGCAGTGATGCTGCATCGCCTGGTTGCTCTGTATAGTTTCACTTTATATCCCCCAAATAAAAGCACATAGCAATTCAAATAAAATAAAAAATAAGAGATTTGTGTATTGAGCCCCAAAAATGCACCTTTTCATCGATATCTTGACACTAAACTGTTTATTTTCTTAAAATGTGAGAGCAACACGCATGCAAGTTCATTTTTTAAATAAAGGTTTTCAACCTCCTATTTCCAAATCACTTAATTTCTTTAGCTCCAAGAAGGCAAGACCCAGATATAGATGCTTTTAAAAGCCACATTTTCAATAAAAATAATGTTTTAAAGTCCTTTTAATGTATGAGAGAAAGAATAAATAGTTCCCCTTAAAGCAAAGATGATCACTGTAGTATAACCCCTCTCCTAATTGTTGCTGCTCCTTGCCTTGTACCTGACTTAATCAAATAAATGGTAGTTTCTTCCTCACATGCATTAAAATAGCAACAGAAGGCATGCAGGTTCAGCAGCAGATTGCAGGCTGGCGGCTTGTTTTGTTTTGATAAGAAACAGAATGGCATAATAGTAGAAACCAGAGTAGGCCTAATGAAAACTATCCAGCCTCCGATTTTCTAATATTGTTCACAAATATATGAAATCTAGATTAAAAATACCCATTGCATTACACTTTAATATTTTCCAGCAGTGGGTATAAGCATATTATACGTCCCACCAGTATCTTGTTTGTAAATATAGTGCTCCTCTATGAACAGCGCATTTCTACTTTTTTAATTTACAAGCAATACCTTGTGTTAACTCAGATCAGAAGTATTTTCTACGTTCAACTAAAACAAACAGGATAATTATGGATATCAAAATATAAAAGTCATTTTCTTTCTTTTAGGAGAGTACTGATCATCTACAACATTATGTGAAGCATTGAAGCTTAAAATGAATAACTTTGAATATCACTTCATGGTATCAGAAATCACTCCATTTATCCATCCATAAACTGGAAGATTTGGTATATTTACGGAAAGCTAGGTGGAAGGAAAAAATGTGGAAAGCAAAAAGGATAAAGGATTGTGCAGAAGAGAGATTCTGGACTAAACGATTGACGTTTTACAGATACAAATGTACAGGTAGATAAATGACGATCAAAAGTCAGAAGAATGGAAGCGCACAGGATCCAGGCTGCTTGAATTAAAGTGTGAAATTTCTAGTTTTTGGTCATTGGGGAGCCATGCTATCTGCTAGTAAGTAAACTTTATTTCTATAGCACTTTTCACAGACCAGGGTCACAAAGTGCTGCACAAATTTATAAAAAGTTTATATAAATTAAAACAACATACAGAAACAGTAAACACAGTATTAAACTAAAAAACAACTTTAAAAAAGTGGGTCTTTAGTTGTGCTTTAGTGATGCTGATCAGGGTTTTTATGAAGTTCAAAGTCAGAGCAGCCGCCTACCAGGACATTTAAGAGCACTTGATGCGTCTCTCTGCTGACAAGCCTCATTTAATTTTCCAGCAGGACTTGGCACCTGCCCACACCACTAAAGGCTGATTTATACTCAGAAACCAGGTCGTCGGCGTGTGTCGCAGTGAACGCAAATGTGCCCCCGCCGCTTCTACAGACACCCAGCTGCACCTCTCCAAGACTGTAGGTGACTGTAGACAGTGCCGCAGACAGGAGGCCTACAATTGGTCAAATCTACATCCGCTCTACACTATGCTTATTTCCTGTTTGGTACCTTAACGGCTTGTTTTGTTTGTATGAGCGCCATTGTGGAAATCGATTTGAAGAGAGAGGTGCACGAGAACGCTGAGACCCTTTTTCCACCTGGATCCCCGCTTTTTCGCCCTCATGGCCCTCCTTTATCGCACAAACTTGCCCCCACTTCCTCACCGCCTCGGCCGTATCTAGACCCACAGCTAGTTCGTCATTGTCCCTCTTGCATTGTGGCGTGGAATAACATAGCGCAGACCACGCTTCAAAATTGGACATAAATCAAAAATATCTGCGACAAGTTCACTGCGACACACTGCTGCGTGAGTATAATCAGCCTCAGCTTTAATGACCACTGTGTCACTGTTGCCATAAACTGGCCACAGCAAAACACAACAGAAAGAAGGTGAGAGACACCAGAACTAATAAGGATGAGTTCAAGGCCACTAAAGCAACCTGGGATTCATGAACATCTAGATACAGAGGCTAATCAACTCATTTAAAAACACACCAGTGCTTTTTCGGTAGACAGATATTTTTTTAATCAGAAAAACAAAATGTTATATGTGAATATGTGACTTAAAAAAATTCAAAGAATGTTTTTTTTTTTAACCTAAAATTTTAGTTTTTTGAGTTGGATTACTTTGAATTCACTAGTTATACTCCAATTTACTGAGATGCACTGGAGCCAAATGGTGAGGCTGTGCCATCTACATGTTAATTCCCTCTGACCGACTGTGAAATTTGGGTGAAAATAGAGAATTAGTGAATACCATGGAGAGCACTGAGGTGGAAGTTGAGAGAACGAGAGGCTGTGTGCAAGGAAGGAAAAAGTTCAAGGTTAAAAAAAAAAAAAAAAGACTTGGCAGGAAGAGAAGATGATGTGGGGGGTTGCTTTACATTCCAAAGCCCATGTTACTTAGCAATACCTTTTAGGAGCAAACCACAAATAAACATACAGTCCAAAAAAAAAAAGATCAGCAACATAAACAAAACCATTAATGACCAAGTAAAGGTGTATTGAGGGAAGAAAAGACCAGAGAAAGGAGCCAAAACATGCTGCATGCAGAGCAGGGACCGCCTGGCCTCACACACAGCATTATGATGATCCCCTTTAAGAGACTGAACAATGGAAAGCAGCAACAGAGAGGCCTGAAACTGAGCCATTAATTGTACAGCGCCTCAGCATGCACAAAGAAACATAAAACCCACTAAAGGACCAATGGCTTACCTTAACTTTTCTGATTCCGCCTTTATTTCCTCTGAAAGACAAGAAAAAAAAAAGGCAGAACATATTAATTTCACACCATTATACCCAGAAATGTTACTCTTAATTATTTACATCAAAACAACTTGCTGCTCTCTGGTGTAGAAACAGAACAAATTGTGATGTATATGTCAAAGTTAGTCACAAATGCCTTTTAGCTGTCAAGATGCCTCAATTACAAGATGACAATATGCAAACTCCCCACCAGAACCTTGTTAATATATTGCCTCAGTAGTGGCACAGATCCTAAAATGCATTCATTATTCACTCTACACCGTGTCTGCAAGCTGGGCCAACATTGTGTTTACTTCACAGATCTTCGGGCATAAAAGGAATTAAATGAACCTTCAGAAAACTGTGAAAACAGACATAGAAGAGCAGAAAAAAAGAAAAGACAAATGAGAGGAAGGGTGTGAGAGAGAAAGGAGATAAAAATAGAAGTCTGATTGGTACGAGACATTAATGGGGGCTTCAGTGATTGAGTGTTTAAAAAGCACAGATACAATTGGCAGCGTCCTCCCAGAACTGCACCGGCCTGCGGTTGTTGGGAAAAACCTCAGTCACGCTCAATTATTTCATTGCTGCAAGGCTGAGAGTCCTTTCAGAGGACTCCATTTAGAGACAGTATTTAGCTCTTAACACTGTGGAAATAAATTAAAGCTTGTTTCAAATATTGTTTCAACAGCAATTAACTTTGTGGGTCAGCTGTGAAAAAAGGGGGTAGAGGTCTGGAACCCTGCGATGCTTCCATTAGGTTCATTAAATACAGACAGTATTAGGACCAGGACCCCCAATCATTGAGATTTATTTTTTTTTAAATGTTGCTTGCATGTCACACAACATCCCCCTAATAAATTAAGTCAATCTGGGATTCAATAAACAGCATGTACTCTTTAAAAAAAAAGGGGGAACAATAAAATAGATGGAACCCTCCACCAAAAATTGTAACATAGATTTTTTTTTTTATTTATTTATAGTATTTGTTGGCTAGTTTAGTTTTTCATTTGAAAAAGCTTAGTTTCAGTTTAGTTTTTATAAGTTTCAGATAAATGACTTAATACCAGGTGCAAGACAAACTAAATCCAAGTAAAGTGAAAATCCAAGTAAAGTGATAAATCCAAGTAAAGTGATACGTGGCTTGCAAAAATAGTGCATAAATATCAATTACACACACACACACACATATCTATATATATATATATATATATATATATATATATATATATATATATATATATATATATATATATATATATATATATATATATATATTTATATAGATATAGATAAAGATGTATAGATATATATATAAAAAAAGATGAATAAATGAAATAAAACTCCAGATAAGGACATACTACACCTGTTATTAATGCATTATGTTAAAGAGACAAACAAAAAATAAGCACATTCTCTTTTCAAGTGTTTCTGTTGCAGACCTGGTTGCAATAAAATATAAAAACAATTAGAGGATGAATTAAAAATGTTTGTATTTACAGGAAGAAATTTTATTCAACTAATGTGCAAATTCTGCGCGAGGTGCTAATGCATGTAACCATCGTTGTGACAAGGTGGCCCGCCTCAACACATGATTCATTCATTCTAATGAGTAACATGGCTGGGAACAGACTGGAAGCTGCACGACAGTCGTATGTCTGTTTCACACATCCTACCTCACCTAAGAGCGTTTCGAGGCCATGAAATGGCTATTCTGCAGCTTGTAGAGAATATTTTTGATCATGAGGAGGATGAGAGTGCAGGGAGTATTTACATCTATTTACATATGTAAATAAACGTATGGTCAGTAAAGCCCAGAGAAGCACAGACTTGTTTTCCTGAGGAAACTAAAAAGAGCAAACCTACAACCGAATTTGCTCCCAGATTAATATAGAAGCACAATAGAGTCTATTCTGATCAACAACACTGCTGAGTGATATGCTATTTGCACAGCCGCAGTGCTAAAGGCAGAACAGAGAAACATTAGAGCACCTTGGATTGGACCTTCCTTTCCATTAAAATAATAAAAATAAATAAAAACAAAGTCCAAAACACCCAAAAGACACCACAAATAATGTCAACCTAATGGTTGAGCTATTACCTCCTGGTAGACGGTACAAGTCAATCAAAACAGACTGAGCATGAGTGTCTATCCAATAGTACGGTCCATTAATTAACCCACCCTGAAATAGGAGAGCTGTAAACTGCTGCCATAACCTCCCAGAAACTTTATGAAATTGTTCTTTACAATTATTGTTTTTATTATCTTTTTAAAAAAAACAAGATTTTAAGGTTTTTTTCTTGTATATGCCGATATATGCACTTGGTCACCGATTCATGAGTGCATCAGCAGTCAGGCCTTAAGATCATAGAGTTCATGCTTTTCTGCTCCCCCCTTTTGCCAGCCATTGTTAAGGTTTTCTTTGTCTTTTTTATATGTCTTTCTGTTTAATAGAGACCTGTGTAACTTTGGTTGTCATTGGGTTATTATCATTAGGGGTGTCCTGATACAACTTTTCCATTTCCCATACGATACCAAATATAGCAGCCTTAAACATAAACGTATATAAAAGATAATGACCAGATATAATATTGGCATGAGTCGCATACTTTGATTACTCCTTTTGTTGTGTGGAATGTTAGGAAAGACTTGATCAGTTGGTATTAACCAACAGAAAACAGTGAACAACAATAGGTATGAGAAGAACCGACCCATTTATAATGAACCTATGGGTTACATAAAGTTTAAACAGAAGCAGAAAAAAAAACAGTGTTTCTATCAGCATGCTTGTAGAATAGGAATTTCAGAAGCAGGTTAATATAACAGATTTCCCCCACTTTTAACATTTAAATAGATGAAGATTGCATTATAGGCCTAAAGAATCGGCAGCATATAACGGGAATAATAAAAAATAGATTGATAAATCTAGAAAGATATTGCTCTGAATGTTTACTGCTTCAATAGTGCAAGAGAAGGCTGTTCTTGAACCAGTAGAATAGCTCCAACTAGAAAATTTCTAAAGAAATTTTGAGGGGGGCCACCTACTGCCCGTCTGGGTAACTGGGCCAATACGGCCCTGGCAAGTGACGTCGGGGCTCCCCAGACCAACTGCTTACGCCTTTGAGGGCTGCTGAGGGAAGGAAAGAGGGCTAGGTCATGGGCAAAGAGAGCTGTGTGCCACTTGTGCTGAAATCTGGGAAATAGACGTGCACAGCATATGATGCACAAGGGTAATATGGGTTGTCCATATTGAACCGCAGTGGGTAAAGCGCAGTTGGCGGGCTCCGCCCGCCTGCTAGGAGCCCTTGCAGCGATGAAAAAAATCACCAATGGCGGGCTCCGCCCGCCTGCTAAGAGCCATTGCAGTGATGAAATCACCATTGGCGGGCTTCGCCCACCTTCTAAGAGCCATTGCAGTGATGAAATCACCAATGGCGGGCTCCGCCCGCATGCTCAGAGCCATTGCAGTGATGAAATTACAAATGGCTATGAGCAATATGCCAGAATGTATGAGTGTGTATAAGGAAGAGGCTTTTATTCTGTAGAGTCCCTGTAGTCTTATTTTGAAAGTCTATCATGGATGTGCATCAAAAGATGGGTCATGCCCAGCAGTGATATAGAATCCATTTCCAAATGTTAAATCACTGGTTTTCCATGTTATTAGGTGAATAGCTGCTGTATTACAGAGTAAATGGGAGACTTTTATTGTGAAATTTGCTCTGGGGTGTGTTTTGAAAACGTCACTAGAGTCTAATAAAAACAACCTGGAAGAGTTTGGGTCATAATGTTGAGCCATTTGCATCAATTATTGCATTAGTATAATCTAGAGGCTTTTATTTTGTAGGGTCCCTGGAGTCTTATTTTGAAAGTCCAACAGAGTTGTGTTTAGAGAAAATGTTCAGACCCAGCAATCATAGTTGATGACTTTCCAATCGTTAAATCACTCTTTTTCCATGTTATTAGGGCAGTAGATGAAGCGGAAATGGGAGGCTTTTATTTTGAAATTTGCCATAGGGTGTGTTTTAAACAGTCTCCTAGAGTCTATTCTCTAAAATGGGGTTGAGTTTGGGTCATAATGTTGAGCCATATAGGGCAATAAATATATGTAAAAAATATAGAGGCTTTTATTTTGTAGGGTCCCTGGAGTCTTATTTTGAAAGTCTATCAGTGTTGAGTGGCAAGGGAAGTGTCATGGACAGCAGTCATATAGTGTCCATTTTCCAATGTTAAATCAGTGCTTTCACCCTCCATTGGATTAATATGTGCTGTTTAAAACAGCAGAGGTAAAATCTCTTTGAAGCACGGTTACCTTGACAACGCTTAACGAGCCTGTCAGTGACAGAGAGAAAAGCGCAGCACTATCGTTCCTTAGCTCTCAGGCTTTTTTGAATGGGAGGAACAGCTGCTGAACAAACGACTGCTGAGCAAAAACCGTAATAGGTATTAGAAAAATTCTTTCAGTGAAAGCAACATCTATCCTTTGTCTCAGACTGGGGTAACCTTCATGTCTGTAGGTCTTTCACAACCCAAAACGAAGCACAAACAAAATGGCTGATCTCACCTGCTCCTCCCTTTGTTTAAACTGCAGCACCACACTCTGTCACCTTTAAGCTGCTATAGCACCCCTCCGAACAAACGACAGCTGAGTAAAAACCGTAAAAGGTATCTGAAAAATTATTTTTATCTAAGCTAAAGCTATATCTTGTCTTCAATTGGAGTAACTTTCATGGCTGTAGGTCATCTACAACCTGAATGGGAAGAGAAAGAATAAGAAAAAACGGGTCCTCAGTCCTTAGCTTCTAACTGAGCTAGCTGCAGCAACACACTCTCACTCACCTTTAAGCTGCTAAAGCCCCCCTCCGAACAAAGGACTGCTGAGTAAAAACCATAAATGATATCTGAAAAATTATTTTTATCTAAGCTACAGCTATATCTTTACTTCAATTAGAGTAACCTTCATGTCTGTAGGTCTTTCACAACCCAAAACGAAGCACAAACAA